AAGAAGTGCTGTAGATTTGTGTAATGTGATTGAGGAATGGAGTGATTTAGATCCTTCAGAAAGAGAAGGTAAATAGGTGAGTTTATGTAATCTAAATAAAGTTCTTTATGAAAAAAACACCTGGAACTCTTCAGAGTAAATGTTCTACATTGCCTTGAGGCTATGTGAACTTGTTCTTACTAATTGCTTCTAGGTAAACGAAAACACAATACGTAAGAATGTCATATTGTTGTGCTCTGTGTGAAGAATCCTCCTATAGCATTCCATATATCTTCACCTATATTATTATTGGAACAGCAAAGTTAGATTTTTGGCTTAGTGATGTAAGCTAATTAACTTAAAATTTATGTTTGGATATTACTTTTGACTAACTCTAACAATCTAATTTTAGAACATGGCAAACATGTTAGAATGTAGGTGATATAACAGTTCAATCTATGATATCTAACAAGATGTTTAAATTGTCAGATAAGTATAACATTCGCCATCTCTCTTTGTATTGGATTAATCGTCAATACTAATTACTACATTTATACACAAGCTAATGATTGTTCACTATTTTGTGTAAATTGATCACATTGATTGATTGATTCATATAGACAGATTGATTCGTAGTAAACGTTGTCAATTTATGATCAAACATCAGTCGTGGATCGAATAAATCTGTAGAGCTTTGTGTGAAAAAGAAGCATCATTTTCAAATATATCCTAATAACTAAATCTTAAGAGTTATTTCTGGCCAAACAATTGGGAAAAATTATATCACCTCGCATTTAATGTAGGGAACAAACATGTGATATAAGATTGTTTCGAGTTGAATAGATCAAAAATTGTTTAGGTTATACACTTATGACATGAAATCTACAATGAAATTCATCAACCGGTGACTTGTTTCGTCCTATGTGGACGTTCAGTCGATATATGAATGGTGCATTTGAAGTTATTTCCTGTGCGATAATCAGTTTATTTTAAACATTTATAATTAAGAAAATAAATTAGAAGGAGAGAGCATGGAACAACAAAGAAAAAACCATCAAAGTATGTCAGTCGAATATACCATAATACATGTTTCATGTGATTCAGTGAAATACGGTTCATATCAGCTGCAAATTGAAATTATTAAGGCTTGACAGGGACAGTGTTGATGTAAAGTAACATTGGGTAGGTGAATTTACTAAGTGAATACTCTAATTAGAATGGCCTATATTTCAAGGTCCCTTAAATAAAACAAGTGAAATATGATAAACTTTGAGTTGCGGAATACATTTCTACAGAAACGTTGACGTTCACTTTACCATGATATCAAACTCCAATCAATATTCAACACAAACATTTATTGAATTAACAGTCAAATATATCTAACCAGAATATTCGGTAACGTTGAGTTATTCTATCACAGTGATTGATATAGAACATGACACAGAATGTGTTATGAACATTGTCATCTAGCATACAGTATATTGAAGGTAATAATAACGAAGTGGCAGATGCGTTGTCCAGAACAACGATAAACGCGATTATTACAAATGGAATTGATTATCACGGTCTCGCGAAGTTACAAGAGACAGACATCGAACTAAACAAGCTAAGATTCGATGACACGACGTCATTATTATTCGAAGATATTAAGTTCGGCAACGCGAAAGTAATATGTGACATGTCGACAGGCCGACCTCGCCCATTCATTCCTAAACCAATACGACGGAAAGTATTCGAAAGTATCCATAACCTATCGCACCCGGGAATAAAAGCCACGATGAAATTAATCAGTGAGCGTTTCGTATAGACGAAAATGAATCGCGATGTACGTAATTGGACACAAACATGCATGAAATGTCAAAAAGCCAAAGTACATCGTCATACTAGTTCGCCAATGGGTTCGTTTTCACATCCAGACACTCGATTCGAACATATACACATCGATATCGTGGGACCACTGTCAGTTTCGAACGGGTACAACTATATTTTTACATGCATCGATAGATTTACCCGATGGCCTGTAGTGGTGCCAATAAAAGACACCTCAGACGAATCCGTAGCCAAAGCCCTTATCGAAAATTGGATTTCTTACTATGGCATACCGGCAATTATCACGACCGATAGAGGAGCTCAATTCGAAAGTCGACTCTTCCAGCAGCTTACAGAACTCCTCGGAATTAAACGTATACGAACGACATCCTACCATCCAATGGCAAACGGAATGGTTGAACGCCTACATAGGCAGTTGAAAGCATCCCTTACATCTGTCATTGTCAATAGCGATTGGGCTAATAAGCTTCCTTTAGTCATGTTAGGTTTAAGAAAAATAATTAAACAGGACATGGGATGTTGTCCAGCCGAGTTGGTATATGGAACTACTTTACTTTTACCCGGAGAATTTTTCGCTTCAGGTAAAAGTGTTACGACTGATGTAGTCAACTACGTGCAACGTCTGAAGAAACACATGAACGATCTAAAAATAGCACTTCCCAGACCACAACAACGACGAGTATTCGTACCTCAGCAACTACATAATAGCACGCACGTATTCATCAGAAGAGACAACGTACAACCACCTCTGCAGCCGAACTATGAAGGTCCATTTAGAGTGATTACGAAGACAGATAAGACAGTCACAGTAGAAAAAGCTGGGAAGACAGACGCAATCAGTATCGATCGAGTGAAACCAGCTTTCGTCGATAGCGATTTTCAATCGACAAGCACAAGCCTCTCGAAGACGATCACACCGACGAAATACGAGTCTGAAGAGTCAACGACGCTAACGCACCAAAAAGAAGAGACTCCGATAACGACAAAATCTGATCGCAGAGTAAGATGGCCGCAACGCTATGTCGCTACAGTCTTTTACTGATAATTTCCTGCTACTTTGATTATTAATTATAATTCTTCCTCTTCATTGTATACATATAGATTATTAAACTTATGTTAAACGCTATTAAACTCGGCACAGCTTATATACACCCTTATGCTCATACGTGTAACTTTTTTTCGAAGCGATACCACATTCCTTCTATATCTTACCGCTATTTTGTATAGCCTAACAGACGGGCACGAACTAAATACAATTGTTGAGGGTTGACAGGGACAATGTTGATGTAAAGCAACATCAGGTAGGTGATTTTACTAAGTGGATTCTTTCACTAGAAAGCGATGACTTTTAAGGTTTCTATAATGAAACATGCGAATTAAGATACCGTTATAGTTGCTAGAATACTTAATGCATTTTCACAGGAGCTGTAAAAATTGATGACGTTCACCGCATCACGATATCAAACTCCAATCAATATTCAACACAAACATTTATTGAATTAACAGTCAAATAAATCTATCCAGAATATTGAGTAACATTGAGTTAATCTATCACAGTGATTGATATAGAACGTCACATAGAATGTGTTATGAATATTGTCATCAAGATGAATGATCTCATAGTTTCGTAGTCATTAATTATCTGACGGATTATTTAGTCGAGTCTGAAAGCATCGTGATTGTCAATGATAGTTCCTTAGATTGATAAACAGAAGACATGAAAACTAGATAATTCCATACGACCAGTATTACTAAACTCGTTTTGAAATAAGATGGTGGATGATTTCAGTGTTTATTCATAGCTAAGTCAAGAATTTCTATGAATTGATGAACACATTATCTGTTTTCACTTCATTTTGTCTTGAGAAAAGTAGTAATCATATGTAAAATGAAACTGACATTGATTTTCGTTTTGGGTGGGTCAATGAATATTAGTCATATAGATGTATTAGTATCCGGGTCACATTTTCATTCATAACTATTGAACGGATTAAAATTTTTCAATGGGGTTTTCTTTTTGTTACTATTCCGAAACCAGACAATGAGTTTTAGGCGTTTTTATGCCCTAACGCTTCAGGCTGGACTATTTTCCTTACTATCCTACATATGTTTTGTATGCAGTATGAGCTATATCGCCATGTAGATCTGAATGTCCGATGTGAGACTGGAGGTTCGCCATTGACATTGTGGATGGTTCATCATAACTTTGTCAAGTTTTGCTGATTGTTCATGTGGAAAGTTGGTTTGCCGGTTAATCGATTTCATTCATACTGCTGGTTGCTTTTCATTGTTCTGAAGGGCCATTGACATTGGAACATTGTAAGGGATGTCGTCATTGCTAACATTAATGAGTTTGACTGTTATGTAAGCGGAATGGGTCAAGTTTGGCTTGTTTATGCTGTGCATAATTGATGTATGCGATCACTAATCGGAATAATTATACACGTGATGTGAATGTGCATATGAATGGGATTGAACTGTAATGTTTGGGTTGCCGCGTGAAAGTCTGGATGATGTCTGATGCTCCTGAAAACCAGTGCAAGATTACCCTGGCCCATAAGGGTATATTATATAACTGTGAACGAACTGGTTGATCCTGCTAGTAGTCATATGCTTGTCTCAGAGATTAAGCCATGCATGTCTAAGTACATACCTTGAAACGGTGAAACCACGAATGGCTCATTAAATCAGCTGAGGGCTGTGATACTACCCAGGTGCCGAAACCGAAACAGATGATTTTCTCAGGGGCCCACACCCGGAACCTTTGACCTTAAGGTCTGACCCGCAAGGCAGTAGAACACTGTAAGGAGATACAGTCCCATGGTAGCCGGTCACCAACGATTGGTTCATATGCCATTTGTTCCTTCAGGATACTGGAGCCCATATACACCATTGGTTTGGAATCAAGGTTTTCCATCTCCCCTAGGTGGACTTTCTGTGTCCACTAACCCGGTTAAAGAGCCGGATATACGCTTTCGTCTTCTCAATTTCGTAAACAACACCCCAGCCACGAGAAGGCAGTGAGTAGGACTTCTCTGGCAGAGGCTATATACATGTGGTCATGTGAGAGCATTTGGAGAGGGAGAGCAAACTCTCCTCACTCTCGGCCGCATCAGGGCATTTGTAGGCAAACTAAAAGCTTCACTGTTAACCACATACATACATCATAAACTTATATAAAAACCATAGTTAGACAGAAACATATAATTATTTTATTTGTATGAGAGAAGTACTCAAAACGTTATGTACAGGAATAATCGCTGAAGCTGTTTCTTTATCCTTATTATCTCGATTTTAATCGATCCATTTTTTTCAATAATTGAATCTTAGCATATTTCGTTTTAATTGGTTGTTCAAAACGTGTCATCTCTTGTTCATCACCATCATCATCATCATCATTGTCAATTTCATTATTGAAACGATCTATTATATCATTATTATTCAACATGTTTCTTGTTGAAGTAACACCCCAACCAATCGATTTAGTTAAACGTTGTTGTTCGTCTAATTCTATTTTTGCTTTTTGTTGAAGTCGTTGCATTTTAGCTAAAGATTTCCATGTTTTACGTGCAGCATTAATACCAGCTTGACCAGATGTATCTAATGGGATAGTAGGAGGATAGTGTTTCTTTGATATTGTCGATAGTTCATTGATTTTTGACTCATCATTTGATAATGATGATGAACTAGACATACTACTATTTTCATCTTCATCAGAATTTGCATAGGTCTCAATTAATTCTTCATTTATCATTGGATCTAGATCAGTTAGGTTATTGTCTACATTACGATGACTTTCAAGTTGGGATCGAATAGTCTGAAATGGAAAGATTTAACAATAGAGAACGAAAAAAAATTTCACTTACAAGTCGATTATACTAAATGAATACTGACTGATACGATAACTACTAGTTCGATGGCCTCTATGAATCATATATTGACCAAGTACAGATCGACGTACAAGCTTATTTAATTGCTATAGTGTAAAAAAGTGGGCATGTTGTGAATTTCTCGAACTTGCAACTAAAGATCCAGTGTTTTGATCACCCTAAACTATCTTCCTATCAAAGGATATTACAAGTAAATTGCTCTACTCATAAACTTGACAGGTGATGAGTTAATGAGTAATGGTCAATGTCATTTGTTTAGCTCTGTATTACTAATTAGATCGATCAAGTTGCAAGGGTGGCAAATAGTCTATGTGACTCGATAACGTATGCACTATGTCTATGATGTTAAGCGAATCAATGTAGTAAACAAGAAATATCAGACCTAGATTCTCTCAAGATTGTGAGCAGTAAGTTAATTTTTCTGTATACCAAGGTCACTTTTTCGTATCATACATGATCCCAACCGTTGCTACTAACCTGATGTCGTGGTCGAACTTGCCTATCGTAATGAACCAGTCGAGTCACACTGGCTGGAACAATAGTTCCTCAAGGTCCTACCATGCCAGGCAGGTCGGTTGGAGAGCGGTAAGACTAAAAACAGCAAACCAAAGGTCCGAAGGCGAAGTCGTACTGTTGACTGTACAAAGGTGTGACGGCAATAAGGTATTTCCTTCAGAGAGCCAACATAACAGCCATGCTGCCTTCCGGCAAGGAGGGGTTCAGTTAGAAAAGGTCGACCGTAAAAATGTACACCTCGACTTATTCCACGGATATCCATCTCCGGCGGTAACGTCCCAACAAGTAAGGAGCTAACACAAAAATTACTCACAAAACGGTCGTGTGTGACCGACCTGAAGCAGTTGTTCCTTGGGCACTGCGGTAAAGCTCTCAGATCATTAAGACCACAATTTCACTGTTTTTCATTATCGAGTGCATATATATTTTGGTGTCGTTTTGTGCTAATATTTATGTATTTAGATAAATAGACGGAGATAACAACAGTGAGCGGTCCATGCTCCTCCACGAGGGGTAACAGGCGTAAGTAAGTAAGATAACAACAACAACAACAACAAAGTTTCCCTGAACAAGAATCATACGGTCATTTTCACAGTGATCCAAACCAATGAATCATATTGTTGTAAAAATAGTATTTCTTTTCCTCGACACAATAATCAGTAATGAAAAAAATAGGAAAACATGTGAGAAATACAACTTATCAGGTACTACTCATGGAGAACAATTTAGCGTCTAGGCGAATTCGAAAAAACAATTACCTTTGAAGCTCTTGACCAAGCTTGATCTGCTAGACGACGACGAGTTAACAATCCATTCCGACCATGTAAGTCTGGTAGTGGAATTGGCCAACGAGGTATTCCCGGTGAATTATTACCATTATTGGCAGTTGATAATGGAAGATAAGGTAGTAAAGCAGCTTCTAATTCTAGAAAACTTTGAGCTACATCACGTGTTACTAGGGTTAATGCTACACCAGTTTGACCAGCTCTTGCAGTTCTACCAACACGATGTCGATACGTTTTTTCCGATAATGGTACATTATAATTGATAACAAATTCAACATGCGGAATATCTAACCCCCTAAAGAAAAAATAAGTAATTTATTACCAACTGAAAAAATGTAGATTTCAAATCAAGGAATGACTTCGGTCAGACAAATACTGAAGATTAAGAAGTATTGAACAGTTCATTTTGTTGTGAACAGTTGATTTAAATCATATTGGATGTAAGATAATTATAACTAATGGGAATGAATAATGGTCATGTAGTACTATCAATTGACTGAAGTCATAAATACAAGCTATCAGAAGCCGAGTTAGTGATCGGCACGTTAAGCGTTTGCTAAGAGGTCTGAAGATCCAGAGTTCAATCCTTGGTAGGGTTGTGGACATATAGCACTGAGTAGTCTTACATCAGCATAAAACAACTCAATACTTCCTCGCCTTTATTTATTTATTATTTATTTAAACACATAAATATTGGTACAAGGAAGCACCAGATACATATGCGCCATACAAACCTCATTCGATTTGCTTGAGGGCTGTGATACTGTCCAGGTGCCCGAACTGAAGCAGGTGGTTTTCTTAGGGGACCACATCCGGAGCCTTTGACAGAAAGATCTGATCTACAAGGCAGTGGAGCATCGTGAGGAGATGCATTCCCATGGTAGCCGGTGATCAACAATTGATTCATACGCCATTTGTTCCATCAGGATACTGGAGCCCATATGCACCATTGGTTTGGAATTGTGGTTTTCCAACTCCCCTAGGTGGATTTCTGTGTCCACCAACCCGGTTAAAGAGCCGGACATTCAGTTTTCGTCCTCTCAATTTCGTAAACAACAGTAATGCCACGAGAATGCAGTGAGTAGGACTTCTCTGGCAGAGGCTATATATTCGCTGGCCATGTGAGAGCATTTGGAGAGGGAGAGAGGACTCTCCCCACACTCGGACGTACCAGAGCATTTGGGGGCTCCCTCGCCTTCAGTGGTTATGTAACAAAAGTCAGTCAAATGATGTATACTACAAAAAGCCAATAATCAACTGAGGGAGGTAGCTAAAACTTATAGAAGTTCCTTTATGAATTGAACAAAGATGGATTTAGTGATAATGCATTTAACTGTGACATTGAATAACTTTACAGAAAACATTAGCATCTTTAAAATTGTTGACAGATATCAATTACAGCGAAATCTAGATCCAGTTCCCTGAGACTAAAGGTTACTTAAGTTCATGTTGAAAATATTCAATGAATATATTCAGTGAGATTTAAAAATTAACCTTTGCCTTGGTCTGATTTGTGACTTACATCAGAATCATTGAAGTGAGTATTGTAAAAGTTGGAACTAGTTGTTTTCGAATTATTAACGATCATAAATTTTCAAAATGGAGATTTGTGAAGATTATGATAATTTTAACATTTGAATTCATGTCAGGTATGTGAGACAGTTATCCAACCCAGACAAAGAATGAAGGGTTACACAAGATCATGGATCAATTGAAGCTAGACATTAACACCGTTGGATGCCAGATCAGCTGTTCAGAGGTTAAGCGTTAGGGCGCGTGATTAAAGGTTCTATGTTCGATTCATGTGTGAGGGATCATGGATGCGAATCGCTGAAGAGTTCAATACTAAGACAAAATAGACGTCCAGTGCTTCAAGGATTTCGATGGTGGTTTAGCCTAGATCGACTCATGAATTCAACTGTTAGAATTATAACTGTATTTTATAATCATTAACCAAGCCGATTACTGTGGGTATATATTCCCCCAAATGCCCTAGTACGGCCGAGAGTAGAGAGTCCGCTCTCCTTCTCGAAATGCTCTCACATGGACACGCGTATACAGCCTCTGTCAGGGAAGTCCTACTCACTGCCTTCTCACCCCAAGGGTGTTGTTTACGAAGTCGAGAGGAAGAAAAGAGAATGTCCGGTGCTTTAACCGTATTGGTGGACACGGAAAGTTCACCTAGGGGAGTTGGAAAACCCTCATTCCAAACCAATGGTCCACATGGGCTCCAATATCCTGAGGAAACAAATGACGTATGAATCAACCGTTGGTCACCGGCTACCATGGAAGTGTATCTCCTCACGATGTTCCACTGTCTTGTGGATCAAACCTTTAGGTCGAAGGCTCCGGATGTGGTTACCTAAGAAAACCACCTAGTTCAGTTTGGGCACTTGGGCTGATTGCCGACTTCTGAACTCAAGAGACAGTCGTAAATGGAAGCTTTAGAATGGTGATCCAACAGGGACTTGGATATTAGCTTAAGGTCAATAGTGTTGATCAGGCGTGTAACTGAACAAGTCAGAGACAATAAGCTACAGATTAGGGGTAGGATCCTGACTGGTGTCTGGTCACGTGATATTCGGTCAGGGGTCCACAAGATGTAAGTGTTTAACTACATGGGATTTTCAAATTAACATACAGAGGTCACTTAGTTATTTTCCTTTCGGTCGGATTGGAACCTGGGGAGAAGACAGAGGGGCTTTGCATAGACTAATAAGCATAATCAATTCAAATAACCGAGTTACGAGCGCAGGCATGATTAGTTCAAGCATAACACACAAGATGATGTAGAATACTGACTAATGTCTATGAACTACATAATCTGTTGATAAGTTCTGTATAGATCGAGGCCGTGGAGAATAGAATTCATAAATATCTACCTTTTTTATTTTGACGAAAAAGTACTTGTATGATTATTTCATTCTCACTTTCTTAGTATGTCCGACAATAAGCATTTCATTGCCCAGTTGAAACTCAATCAGTCAGTCACAACGTAGAACTTCGTACGTACGTACATCAGTTGCAGTTGCCATACCACATTAGCACAGAGATGCAGTTGTCGATTCAAATCCCATAGTGGTAGAAGTAGTAAGAGTATAAGCAGTAATCGGAAAGATTATGATTTGAAGATGTTATTGAAGGAGTATGGTCGTGAAATAAATTTGGAAACAGAAAAAGTATAGGGACATGAGGAATACAGAATATTAGAATTTGGGAGAACACAAAGAGTGGATGCACCTTAGCCATTGCAAACGATTTTGAGCCATGTCATTCAAGGTCTATAACCATCGATTGCTATCATCTCGCAAATCTCAACCAGGTAGTCTACACCTACCAACATGGCTCAGTCCACTTGTCAGTGACTTCATGGATTTGTGCCACGTTTTGGTCCGGTCGCCTCTAGCTTTCTTCCAACCTACTCCTACACCATAAAGCATTGCACGTCGGGGCAGTCGGTGGTTGGGCATACGTAACACGTGTCCTAGCCATCTCAACTGATCAAGTTTCACTACTTCATCAATCGATTTGCCATCCTTACCTAGTACCCGTTTCCTAACAACTACATTACTTACCCGGTGGTCCCAGGATATACGAGCAATGCTTCGAAGACACCTATGATCGAATACTAGTAGCCTACGAAACTACGTTTTTGATTGGTGGAAGAAAGGTACAAGCGAATGGTGGAGGGTTTTAAAGTAGATTACATAACCCTTAAAAACGTATTATTTTTGAAGGCATGATACTTCATACTGATGATAGTAGTTACTGTACATTCACTTATAAAAAAGATGATTCATTAATACAAAAGAATTTTGGCGAGCTTATAATTTATGGACGACTTTTGAGCGACGCTGAAGTGAGCTTTAGAAGATCCATCTAACTACTAGGATTAAATGAGGGTTTATAGATTAGTGTGAGGAATTAGAATTAAAATTGAAAGTTAAAACTAAGGATTAAGGATTAGAGTTAACATTAGCCCTAATGTCAAAATGATATTTAACTACATGGATGAATGAATTTCATATCATCTTAAATCTGATTTAGTTCGTCCATAAATTATAGGCTGACCCTAAAATTCTTAGAAAAATCTGTTTGTTTTTTTGAAATCAACATACCGACTAGCAACATCAGTTGCAACTAAAACTTCTACTTCACTTGAAATAAATTTATTTAATGATTCTTTACGTTCAATTTGTTTCATACGTCCAGTTAATGCTACACTAGAATGACCAGATTCACGAAGAAATTCTGCAACCATTATAGTTTCATGACATCTTTTACAAAATATCATAATATGATGTTTTTGATTTGGTGTGGAACCTATAAAAATCGAATAAACAATTAATAAAAGTTTAAAGGATAATAACTGTGATCAGAATGAGTTTTTTGTGGAGATTTAGTAATTTCATAGTTGAAAGCGTGAATCAATTGAAGCTAAAACACCAGGGAAAACCTGAAAGAATTGAACGGCTGTTTCATCCTATTGTGGGACTCCTCAGTAATGCGCATCCACGACCTCGCCTAGCAAGATTCGAACCCAGAGCCTGTCGGTCTCGCTCGTGAACGCCTAACCTCTAGGCCACTGAGATGACTTCAACCAATCCACGAAACAGCTGTCCAGTGCTTCCAGGTTTTCCAAGATGGTTCAGCTTTAAGTGACTCATGAATCCAACTATTAAAATTACTATAATATTCATTTGTATTGTGGTGCATGCTACTTATGTCTGCAGAAATAAGTAGTAGGTAACATCAATAAGAAATGCGATGTCTGAGAGCAGAATATTGAAAAGATTGAAATAAAAAGAATAGACAAATAAACTGGAAGCAATCAAGATAATAACAGGAATGAAGTAGTGTTGAAGTGAACGAGAACACGATTGGGTACAATGAAATGTATTTGAGCACAACATCACAGACTATCTCACTAAATTCTGATAACCATACAGTAAACAGTTAATTTGCAAAATAACAACCAATTGTCTCAATCTTCACTGTTCCTTCTGTAAATATCAGTTCGTGTTCTCTAATTACATTGTTCATGCATTTTCCTACCAATTGCGCTTCATTTCAGTTCTTTCCTTATCGATCTTCTGCTCACAGACATTCTATGTCTGCTCATCGCCATATACTACTTATATGGATATAAGTAGACCACACAACAGTGTAATTTCATTGATTCAAATATGATAAATAATGACTCAAAAGATCAAATGATAGGATCAGTGAGAGATCGAATTCACTTGACCTATTCCTCTTAAATAGAGCTAGTTAACATACATATATGAATATACTACTTACTAGTAATACCGAATTTCTCCAACAAATTTGTTTGTATCACATTTTCTACAATGATAAAGTCATTCATCTTCGAGTTGCACACAAAAACTCCTTAGTAGTATTCTCGACTGTGATTGACTTGCCTCAATATCATAGTTTTACTCATTGACTTAATTAAATAACATTCCTATTATTATAACAGTTGAATTCATGAGTCAGTTAATGCTAAACCACCATAGGAAACCTGTAAGCACTGGACGTGTGTTTCGTCCCAGTGTGCGACTCCTCAGCAGTGAACATTCACGACCGCACTAGCAAGATTCGAATCCAGAACCCGTCGGTCTCGTTCGTGAAAGCCTAAACTCTAGACCACTGAACTGGTATCAATCAATGTTAATGTCGAACTTCAACCAATTCACGAAACGATCATCCAGTGTTTAGAGATTCACTGAGAGATATAATTCACCTATTCCTTTTAAAAAAGAGCTAATTAACATACATATATGAATATACTACTTACTAGTAATACCAAATTTCTCCAACAAATTTGTTTGTATCACATTTTCTACAATCCAATTTAAAATTGTAGGACGATCAGCTAATCTTATAGGAAGACAATAATGTGATAAACCAATAGGGAAACCAGTTTTTAAATGTTTGTTTAATTTTAATGTAGAATTAGATTGTTGTTGTTGTATAAGATTACATCCCATGGTATTCTTATCATCATTCTTTGGATTACCTTCATTATTATGAATGGTATCATCATTCTCATTAATAAATACAGCATTTGATGATAATGCAGCACGACGTAATTTGTTCACATCTTTTGTCATTGTAGCTGAATATAAATAAATTTGTGGATGTGGATATTTTGTTGTAATCGACTTAATCATTTTGTTATTTGATTTCATGTCTAAAAGGGTTACATATATGTTGGAGTTTAGAAACGTATGTACACAATCATAACAAATTCATAAAGGTTATATCATAAACTTGGGAAACCATTGAATACTAGGTAGTAGCTGAATATTCGGTTTCAACATTATCAGAGGAGTTCAAACATGCACTGGTACAGCCGAGAGTGAGGATAGTCCTCTCTCCCTCTCCAAATGCTCTCATATGGTCACGTGTATATAGCCTCTGACAGGGAAGTCCTACTCACTGCATTCTGGCGACACTACTGTTGTTTACGATATTGAGAGGAAGAAAAGAGAATGTCCGGTGCTTTAACCGGGTTGGTGGAAAACGCGAGTCCACCTAGGGGAGTTGGAAAACCCTCATTCCAAACCAATGGTTCACATGAACTCCAGTATTCTTAGGGAATAAATGGCGTATGAATCAATCGTCGGTCACCAGCTACCATGGAAGTGTATCTCCTCACGATGTTCCACTGCCTTGTGGATCAGACCTTTGGGTCAAAGGTTCCGGGTGTGGTCCTCTAAGAAAACCACCTGCTTCAGTCTGGGCACTTGGGCAGTATCACGGCCCTCACACAAATTAAATGAGATTTGTGCGGCGCATATACATTTGGTGCCGTCTTTGTACCAATATTTATGTGTTTAAATAAATATAATAATACTTACCATTGTTGGTAATATCATTATTATTATCATCGGCTAACTGAACTAACAATGGTTTCCTTTTTCGTTTATGTTTCTTTCCTTTCATCTTTGGTTTTTCATATAAATTTAATATTTTATCAATATCATCAGCAAATGCCATATTTAACATTCTATCTGCTTCATCTAATACTAAATGATGAATATTTGATAATTGTTGTGCAGCGAAATTTTGTGATTGTTTTAAATGATCAATTAAACGTCCAGGAGTTGCTATAGAAAACGATGTAAGAAGAAAAAAAAAGAAGAATTATTATTGGATAGTATTCAAAGCTTAAAGGTTTTTACTTTTACAAAATCCCATTTTATTAAAAAAACATTCAACAGACAGAGGTATATGAATGGTAAAAGTAACTAATTGTCAACTATTAGATTGTATATCAGAAGGGGGTTTTGTGGAGGATTACCACAGTAGGACGAAATGTCCGTCCAGTGCTTCCAGGTTTTTCATGGTGGTCTAGCTTCAATTGAATCATGATTTCAACTATATAAAATTACTAAAATCTCCACAAAACCCCATTCTGATAATGATCATATGCTTACTAGTGACTGGCTCCATGAGGTATTTCCTGGAGTTCTAGCGAGAAGCAGTAACCAGTGGAGTTCAACCAGGTCTGTTGAGAGATATCAACTTCTTGAAAACATTGGCGAATGGTTGCTCAATTTCGTAGATTGGTTAAATTAGACATTAACACCGTTGGATAACGCCCAGCTCAATGGTCTATTGGTTAAGTGCTCTGGCACGAAACTGGTAGGTCCTGGGTTCGAATCTCGCGAGGTGGGATCGTGGATAAGCACTGCTGAGGAGTCACACAATAGGGCGAAACGGCCGTCCAGTGCTTCCAGGTTTTTCATGGTGGTCTAGCTTCAATTGACTCATGATCCCAACTATATAATATTAGATTGTGTGTTTGAATTTGTTGAGGATGTTAGATCCCTATAAATCACTTTGTAAATGTTTTATTTTTTGTCATTTTATTTTGAAAATTTGATTTTCTCGTTCTTGCACCAAAAGCGCCGATTTTTATCTTTCAGATTGTATTTCCCACTTGGAAGGACCTTAAATGTCATTGTCTCCTAGCCTCTTTCAATAGACTATTTTGTGACGTTTTTCAAGGACCTTGTCATTCTATATATATACATATACATATATATATATATGCATGCTTGAGTTATGTGCTTGATTAGTTCGTGCATCTGGTTGCTTCTGGAATATACCTTTTCCTTATCTGGACCTGATTTTCTCCCTCTAAATAACAGGCCTGGGATGCGTCGGAATAGTTTAGCTTGTCTTGTCGTATTGTTGCTGATCCTTTGTTCTGTTAACCGATTTTAGATGATTTCGTAATCTCTTCAAACAGCAGAGTTCGACCTTAAAGCTTGTTTGTAGTTGACTATCTAGAGAAGACATTACAGTATTATTAGGCGAAGGATGGTTTATTCACAAGAGCGGAAGGGCGAAAGTGAATATCTAATATTTAAACTTGGTTGACAGAGATTGGAACCCTAATTTTCAGTCAATGGATCTTTATATAAACTTCAATGCTTTTTGGATGAATGAATTTGATTTGAACACTGACTGACACACAATTGTCACCAACGATAATTTGAAAATTCAATGAATAGTGAATGAATAAGATTAATAGAAGAATAATAGAAGAAACGCAGTGACAGGACATGAATGGATGTTAACCTCGACCTAAAGGTCTGATCCACAAGGCAATGGAGAAACGTAAGGAGATGCAGACCCATTGTAGCCGGTCACAACAATAGGTTAATAAGTCATCAACTATTCACTCAGGATCTCAGAGTCCATGTGGACCATTGGTTTGAAATCAGGGTTTTTCAACATTCCTATATGGACCCTCCGTGTCCACCATCCCGGTTAAAGCGCCGGACATTCTGTTTTCATCCTCTCAATTTCATGAGCAACATCCCAGCCGCGAGAAGGAAGTGAGCAGTGATTCCGTTGCAGCGGCTGTGTACCCGTGGCTATGTGAGAGTATTTTGAGAGGGAAAGCGGACTCTCTCCGCCCTCAGCCGTACCAAGGCATTTGTGTATTTAGCTTTTGGTTAGTGATATTACAAAATAATATATACAAATGCATCACTTTTCTGCATTTTTTAAATGTAAATATCCCTTTTTATTAGAATTCAAGCAAATATACATAACCATAAGGACGTAGCTTAGTGTAAAGCTATCAGAATATACATTGAGAATGTCAAACACGTATGAGAAAAATATATTCAACCAAACTATATACAAGTTCATTTACCTACAATGAAATGATGTTTTCTCCATGCAAGTTTTAAAGCTTGATCTACCATATCTTCACCGCCAACAAGAAGAATTACTTCTAAATGAAATTCTAACTCATCTGTTTTGTATTGTCCTAAACGTTCAGCCTCATTGGCTAACTGTTGAGCCAGTTCACGAGTAGGAGCCAAAATTAATGCAAAACCAACTGGTTGACCAGATTTAATCCAATGCTATACATGAATGAGTTATGAATCAAAACAAAACAGGCAAAAAAAGTAACATTGTTTTAGTAATGGTATATTATATTGATACAAATTTCGACTCTCAGAGGCACGTGTGTGAGATATCTACAAAATCTGCATTCTTCCAATAGATGTGTCGAGAATAACTCTTAATCATATTTATGTTTGTGTTGAATATTGTGTACGTGAGCGAATCAATTTACCTAGAAGCATTTTGTTCTACTAGCTATTCTTGTGTATTTTGACAGTTTACTAAGAGTCATATCTTAATAACTCAGTATCATGAGTAATCGAACACATTGTATGATTGGATATCAATCACTGTTTAGTGTTTCATTTAGTCAAACAGTCGAGAAAGGGTTATTTATCTAAACCTTAAAAACTATTTAACAATAAATAGATGAAAAGATGATTAAAAGAGAGAGAATTTCTCTAAAGAAACAAAACAAGGAAGATTAATTATTCAGGTGGTTTGAGCAACTCGAGCATAATGCTCGGTTACCATAATCGAAGTAGATAGAAACATTATACCGTTGAATCAAGCAACGAGTTGGATAGATTAGAACGGTAGCAGCGTTCGCCTAATGGCTTGGTTATTCCTGGCAAACAATACATTCATCGAAAAACTACAGTGAGAGTAAGTATTGTGCTCGGCTAGGATAATATGAGTTCGTACACGTTTAATAAACATGTTAAGTTGCAATTATTGGTTCAAGTAATTAAGTTATACGACTAAAAAATTCGACATAGAATGATTGATTTATATGCACACTTGGAATCCAAGATGATAATTCGTCTGTAGACTTGAGTATAAAGATGATATTTAAGTTCCACATAGAGATTATACAGTACAGTTCCCTACTCAGTGAACTAATATTTGAAAAACTGAAGGTGACTACTTTAGGCAACTGATAAAAATCATGAACAATTTAAAAAGAAATGAATACTGTAGTTAAACACTTCGTGAAAATCAACTATTTATAAAGCTTTGATCTTTACTTAGTTACGCCTGTCGTCTCTCATGGAGAAGCACAGACCGCTCATCAGAATTCTTCGTCCAACTCTGTCCTGGGTAGTCAGTTTCAGTTCTTTCTAGTTACTATTCATCTTTTTTACGTTTGCTTCCAATTCTTGGCAGTGTGTTCCTTGGTCTTTCTGGCACAGTAGGTTGTTGTTGATATTGAGCCAACGGATATAAAAAGTCTTGCCTAGACAACTGTTTATAAATACTTTTACGTTTTGGATGATGTCGTAATTCTCCAAGTTTCAGCCCCGTACAGTAGGATTGACTTGACGTTCGTATTGACTACTGTGACTTTTGGATATTGGTTTCCAGTTTCTGTGAGTTTCATATGTTCTTCAATTGTAGAAATGCTAGTCTCGCATGCCAATCCTCGCCTTTACGTCCGCACCCGATACTCCTTGTTCATCGATGATGTTTCTAAGGTACGCGAATGTTTCCACCTCTTCTAAAGCTTCTCCATTAAGTGTGATTGAGTTGATGTTCTGTGTTGTATTTGAGAATCTTGCTTCTTCCCTTGTGTATGTTGAGGCCTACTGATGCAGTGGCTCGTGACTTCCGAAGAATCTCGGCTTTCATCCTGAGGCGACATAATTCTTCCTTCAACTCTTAGGGTAGAGTTTAAATGGCTTAATGTGATGTTTAAATAAATCAATGACTTCTTAGTATTGATGACTGTTGTAATTTTGAATTCAAAAATACAATACATTCGTTCGGGCTCATCTAATACTTCTTGACTAAATTGCGTTATTCCGGGGATTACTAGTTCATACTACAATTCAAATACTACTAATTATCATATTGGCGTCGCGACTGAGCCTGTGATGGAACGGTTAAATATAAATTCAGATTTTAATGTTTTTGAGGAGTACATGGAAAGGTTCGAAATCTGGGCTATGACCAAAGAAGATGATGATGATTTTAATATTGTGGCCCATTTCCTTACATTCATCGGGAAAGAAGCATACAGCCTTATAAAGATTTTGGCACTTCCAGACAAACCGATTTCACTCCCCTATGCAACTCTCAAGCAACTTCTGTTGGATCATGTAAAGTATACAAATTCCGAATGCGGTAAGAAAGGAAAATCCGATAAAATGACTCGTCAGAACATCAGGAATTCCACTTATTCAAACAGTCGTCGTAGTTCGATGCGTAATCAAATTTATTCAGATAATACTTCATTGAGTTGTGAAACAGTCCATGATGATGAGCACAAGTTTAGTAAATGCATGTTCTGCGGCAAGTTTCACCCATGTAATTCATGTATATTTCGTAATTCTAAATGCTTTAAATGTGGTATAACTGGACATATTCAGTCAGTTTGTAATACCATGGTTCATTTCGCTGAAAGTAATGCTAAGATGGATGCTTCTAATGATCAGTTATCTTTATCTAGAAGAGGTATAACGTTATATAACAGTCCAGAGTTGAATGAAACCCAGAGTCATTGGGAGGCGAAAATTCTCAACCAATCAACTTATCAGATTTCTCATGTTATTGTGCCAGATATGGTTTGTCGTAATAATTCACATACTTCTGATGTAATTTCTTACAACTCTGAGAATAGAATGTTAAATGAGTCAAATCATGATCAAAAACCAAATTCAGTCATGGTAGATGTTGAATTCCCTGATGATCCATTACCTAATGAAACTCTTAATCAATTTCAGGAAAATATTTCAGAAGAATCGAATTCTGATATCATATCAAGTGTCAGTGGTCCTCATAATGAATTTATCTCTAATGATATTCCTCATGAATGTGAAAAATATGTTTCTTATGAGTTGAATTCTAGTCATATTTCTGATGTTATTGTGTCATATGTTGGATACTCTCACGAACAATGCATGTTGAATAGAATCCCTAGTCAGGGGTATAATGATACAGAGGGGATAGCAAAATTTTCCGAAGCAACCGGAGAACCAGTTTGCCCAGAAGTGAAGTTTGCACAGACAGAGAATCCAAATCAAGTCCAAGATTATCCTAATGAATATGAGGCAGATGAATGTTTTCTATCCGATTGTTTCGCAGGTAAATCAAGCCTAATTGAATCACGTGTGTTAATTACATATATCAATGTATATCCATCTGCGTATTCTAATATGAATAACAAAAAGAATATGTATCATGATTTTTATTCAAGTCAAAGTCACATGATGGAATACCTCAAATTATATATCAGTGTTTATTCCCAAATACTCACATACAGTAGTCGGTGCGTAAGATTTGAGATAATGCAAATTGGGAACGTCATATTGGCTAAAACATTGCGAATCAAGGACCCAACATTATTTCGAGGGGGAGGATATTGTTGGAAAGTCCATGATGCAAATTCTAAATATCAATGGTTTCACTACACAACCGACATGCTGATTGTATACAATTCTAGAACCCAGGTGAGTCTGTTCCAATTTCCGTTGTTAATTCTAATACTAATGAGTGCATTCTAGATAATACAGAGTGTACATTCAATACACCATCGGACAGATGTAGGATGAACTTAAGAAGAAGACAAACAATCGATTACAGATACTTACACTTCAATTCGAGCTGTGGCGGATGTGATGTTTAAATAAATCAATGACTTCTTAGTATTAATGACTGTTGTAATTTTGAATTCAAAAATACAATACATTCGTTCGGGCTCATCTAATACTTCTTGACTAAATTGCGTTATTCCGGGGATTACTAGTTCATACTACAATTCAAATACTTCTAATTATCATACTTAATTTGTTTATTTTGGTTGGCGTTTTTTTCGCAAGGTTATTTTCTACGGGATGAGGTTGCTGACCACATGCCCAACACTCCTCCTTTGCCCAGGCTTGCGCCCGGTAGAAACCCTAGGGGAGCTTCAGGAGGAGTTAAAGCCTGCAAACAGCAGACACGTTCAGCTACCTCACTGGATGACGTGCGACGTGGGGCTCAAATCCACGATTCTGAGATTAAGAATCTCATGCTCTACAGACTGAAGGTTACAGAATTCGATGGATGAACTGATTCAAAACAGCCCTACTGCTATGCATTAAAACTTACATTTATGATTAGGGGCATAGAATAAACAATAAATTATGAATTCTTACAAATAAACATATCAATATGCAGTTGTATATGTTAGTGTTGAAATTAAATACTTCCAAGCAATATATTCTGCTTACTTGAATTATGGGAAGAAGGAAAGCTCCTGTTTTACCAGATCCCGTTTCAGCAATACCAACAATATCTTTTCCTATAAATATTAAATTGAAATTCATTGGTCGATTGAGAAATTGGTGGCTAAGCTTATTATAACGTTTTCACGAAACTTAGTAAACACTCACCTTGTTAAATACTTAAGAGCATACAAAGGATACAAATCAGTCTTGTCGCAACATGTTTCTTGGTCGGTCTACCAAACAAACGACAGTATTTATGTTAGACATGGTTGATGATTTACGCGTATAAGAAATAGGAGGGCCTGAAAGAAAAAATGTCCCGAACATTCAGCTATGAGTCACATTTTCCTGTGTGAGCTAGTGAAACTATCAAGTTGTTCAAAAAGTGGAGGTTGCAATACGAATAATTTACCCGCAACGTGAACAATAAAATAAAGGCATCTAGTGCTGAAACTTACTAGGCTACTTTGTAAAGTAAATCCTAATGTTACGCAAAAGCTTATCCGAAAATTCCTCCACAAAACAGTGAGCTTTGAACCCAATTCAACGGCTTTAACCTAGTAGACGTGATAAAATGACACCAGGTAGTGTGCACGCAAATAATCATGAAGGCTGTAAATAAATAAGAAATTTTCTACAGCACCAAAGTGTGAAAAAGGAATTTTCCCTACAGTGGGAAAGCTTTGCAACTAAGTCATTCTAAATCTTTATATAATTCATTTACTCAATAACTTTGGCATGCCCTGCAGTTAATCAGCAAACCATACAAAATAATCTGATTCCATGACCAAATGTCGGAGTGTCATGTTACTTGAACTAACGGCCACGTGAAATATTATCTGTAAAAAGTGAGATGTGGTAATAACGAAAACTTGCAATAGACTAATGTATTTTGTAATATTACTGACCTTCGAGAGCAAAAGGAATTGATTTCAATTGTATTTTTGTAGGAAAATCCCATTTCATGCGCTGACATACTGAACACAACTCTTTAATCAAACCCAAATCACTGAACGTCATAAAAACGTTATACAAAAGTTCAGAGCCTTGATCACAATGAACGTAAACACTGTTGTTTTGACTGAATTATGAAGCTTATACAACCCTGTGCATAAAGAAATTTAGATTATTGGAACCTTTATTTTTCTTACAGCTTCACTACTCCTGAAGAACACCCAAATAGCAGATTGAAAATTATGGTTTTTCGACACTATGTTTTAAAAGCCCTCTGAAAGTAGAAAATCAGTCGCAAATGAAGTCCTGAATATAGAAAGTACGAAAGGATAAGCAATAATTGTTTGTTTTACCTTGAATTAGCCACAAAATAACAAAGAGAGGACATGTGATGTAGCACACACTACACAAGCCGCGCCTTTTGCAATGTTGCAAACTTAAAGCTTCCAATAAATTGATCACTGGTTAACACATTTAATTTAAATTGTTCCGCTTGTAAATTTACTCTTCCGGCATACGTAGTATAATCCTCATCAGCTTCTCTAGTCAGTTGTAGACAATTATACCGGATACGAAATAGAGACATCTGTTCACAGAACATTTTATTTAAAATGTTGACAGTTTCATCGAAACTAATCTCTCGTGGATGTTTAGGCAAGATATGGTTTTTATACTTCTGATGCTCATTAGGACCAAGCTTCTGTAAGAGTAACCGAACTTTCTTTGCGTCCTCCATAACATCAAATTCCACTCGGAAAATATCTTCAATTCTGCCAAACCATGCTTCAAATGTGTGACCGCTGTCTGCATCAAAAATAAATTCTTGAATTGAATTAAGATATGACTCTATGCTTTTATGTTCTGGAATATCTTGTTGAATAGACATTTTCCCCAAAAGTGCTTCCAGGAGTTGTTGTTGACAAGCTAACATCTGCTGCTGCTGTTGCTGCAATATTAACTGTAGTTGTTCTGGAGAAATTGACATCTTTAAATGTGAATAATAATAATAATAAATCCAAAAAAGAACACCGGCAATTATTATGGATTATTTAATTCCAAAACGACGTCACCGACTGTTGTATTTCTTTTGCCAGAATCCCCGTCGCCAATTTGCTATGTCTTCGACCTGGGCTGTAGTCAATTATTATGACTTGATCAAGGTCGTCGCTGATTTGTTATGACCTTGCGAATTTAACAAGGACGTAATTCGCGTAAATTATCCACCAATAGAATACGCCTTCTACGACCTTCACACTGTGACAATGACGTTCGATTAGTATGAGTAATCTAACCGTCCTTATTGGCCCTTATCCGCCTAACCCGTCCACTTGAGTCCAAGACACCAATAACAGCTGCTGTGATGCGTATCGTTCATTTCAAACATACTTTGTCTATATACCAAACAGGCAGACCACACCATACTATAAAATAGAAAATAATATTTGTACAAAATCAAGCCAAATGAGGCTGTAAGCATGGGAGACAGTATTCAATAAACCGAATATAATTTAGGAACAATAAATCATATAATAATAATCAATAGGTCAGAATGAAGCTTGTAATAGGATGAATATCGACATAGATAAACTAGTTACTGGATAGTTATACAATAGGAATATAAATAGAATAATAGTCTAATATAAGATCTCATAAGTCATCCGTAATTACTTATTCCCTATTATATAACACTGAGGTGTAACCGACAGGATTTTATGTCTAGAATATTGTAAACAGATCTTGATCTGAAGGTTTTCCCCCATGTAGTGGGTTTGGTTAGTTTGACTGAAACCCGATGCAATGAGTTTTGGATTGTCGACGTCAAGACGTTTTTTTTCGGTTTTCCAGGCTTTATCCTGAAGATCCAAATGGACTCTCATAACAATAGCGTAGTTCATTAGTGACATTTCTCCGAGACTGTAAAACTTCAGTTTGATTGCCTTAGTTCCTGTGGTCTGCGGCTTATAGTTGGCGTCGAGTCGAGATTGACTATGATCACCAGTACAATAAGATTATGCGTCAGATAACGACTTTGATCCCTCGATAGTCCGAAAACCAGGAGGCTGTTATTGGTCCAGATAAGATATATTTATTGACGATCTCGCAGTATCGAAAGAATACCGAGACGTGCCAAAGAGTGCAGGCAAAGTGGCAGAGAGTAAGAGGGTCCGTAAGAACAAGATGGACAACGGACGAGAAAGTGATATTGATACAGTCAAACAAAACGAGTACAGTAAAACAATCACTGGTACAAATAGTTATAATAATAATTGTTTCCATTATATCAGTGGCATTCTCGTCGTGAATTGTGGGTCACCACAGGCTTTTGAAATAGTACCTCATAGTTATGGTTTACGACAGACTGGAAAATTTAGAGCTTATGTTTGCGCCCTGACAGCATAGCAACCATCGCCACTACTGAATGTATTTCTTATCAACCTAGCTCGAAGGGTCAAATGTTGCCTCAGGTACCAAACGATACACTGTGCTGAATGGTTACTTAATGCATGGTTTATAGTGTGGTCTTCAGTGTCCAAGGGTTGTTGGGTCTCTGGCCTCTGAAGCATAAACAGAGTTTCCTATGGCTTATTTTCTGAATTAGGGTTCATACTCAATGATGAAATCTAACTCTCACACATTTGGTGCTATTTGGCTCCTCGCTGTTTGAGACATATTTGTACACAATGGCCAGTGATTTTCAGGTGAATTCTCCAATATACCCGTATGGTTACCAAACTAAACAAATGATTTTGTCACATTTCTATCAGTTCCAGTGTAGCTTTATATGGGGATGGACATGAGTGTCTTTGGTGTACATAGAGCCTCGGATTTCGGTTTCGTTGACCTAGTTGGTGAGTGCCCCCTAAGGTCTGGGCAAACGTACAGAAACTAGAAGCATGGATGATCTAACATGAATCAGCGTTTTGCTTGGGCATGGTTGTGTCATGACGGAAGTTATCCCACATACCAAGAGAGTGATGGTTAACTGACCCTGGCTATTAATGAGCAAGCGAGGTAGGAATCACTACTAAGTCCACTTCGCTAAGCAGACGGCCAGTTCAAGTTTCTGGGTTACTGAAGTCCTTCCTTATTATTAATCCTACGTTTCTTTCCAGTGTTGCTAGAGATAAAGATATGTATTAGGGTATGACCACTATTGCATAAGATGTTCTCGTTTGATATGTGATCCATCTTTTCTACGTCGTCTGCGTTATCCCTACACGTCTTCATAAGTTTTGGTTTTAGGCTTTAGCCAAGCGTGAGGTTTAGTAAAAGGTTTCTCAACCCCTATGTTGAGGCATGTGAGACCCCATTAGACTCAATCAGCGATTATAGAATGAATGGACTGCAATCTAGAAAACGTTTTAAGTTCCTCTGTTCTTTTATGAGACTGCGTCAACACAATGTTAAGGACTTACGGAACCACTTACTTAGAACAAAAACTATTTTTTACATCGATGTAAACTTTCATGTTACACTTAGGCCCAATGCCTTTTTCTGTGTGTTAATTTCTATTGAGTTTGTACGACTACCTAATATGGAAATATCACTAAAATATGGCGATTTTTCCCAGTTGAGCAATTAATTTTGTCCACTTTTCATCTTGAGGCAACATAAGGATCGTTTTACTCTCACTACTGTATTAAGTAAATAATTGCTATCGCTAACTAAAGAGACATGTGAAAATCTGAGTATGAAAGAAAAATGTAGGGAGATATTATTATACACAGCAGAGCGAACTGTGGACACAAATTCTACTACTTATGAGTTGTCAGATGCTGGTATTTGATACCAGCTGAGCTAGTCCAAGCGATATCGCGGAAGTCTTTTAAGAAGCAAATCGACTTATTTTTAACGAATAAGGATAATATACTACTATGATTTACCGATTTCTTTCTCTCCTATTGTCGATAATATCATTAGGTCACCGCCTGAAAGTATTGGTGAGCCATTGTTATTAGACACGAAAACCGGTTAAGAGAAAGCTTCTTCTATTCCGTCCACAAACATTTGATTCATTTGAAGGTCCAAAGGTCATCACTAATGTTCGACCTTGAGATCAGGGAGCGGAAAGTTTGTATTTGTTAACTTGGCGGTGTATATGAACGTAGGACGATATGGAAGAGACATTTTACTTGTAATTATTGACTGATTGATTGATTAGACGAATAATTTTAATTGAACAGTCGCAAGCAGTTAAAAGCTTATTGATCTGGGAATGTATATTTTCTATTTTCGCGCGCTATTTAAAAGGACAGTGGTATTGTTTCACGTTGAGTTTAATTCACTGTTTTGATCGTAAATTACGTATCAAAACTACCGTTTGCACAATTTTTAATTGAATTTATTTCAGTTAACGTGACATTGTTTTTGTGTGTTTTGATTCTGCTTTTGTGTATTTGCTGCATCAAAGCATTCTTGGTCGACTGAGGCTTGTTTATTTGATAAGGTTGTGATTTATTTTACATATCTACCTTGCCTATCATTTTGTTTTATTCTAAGATGGTCGTCTCTGTACACAAGTGTGGACAGCCATATTGCCTATTCCCCGTGGAAGAAGGGATGCAATGTGACGATTGTAAGAAGTGGTTTCATAAAATGTGCACCCGCTTAAGCCCTGCTGCTTATAAAAGGTGCTCGAAACCCAATTCTCATTGGCTCTGTATGTTTTGTTGCTCAAGTAAGACATTACTCATACAGGAAGCCATCAGCCTTCTAGCGTTAGCTAAAAAGGCCGACGTAGGCCGTGCCGGCAACATGGATACTGATAATGAAGATTGTATCAGTGTCGTAAATGCTGCCATGGCAGGTACCAGACACCCAATTTCGCAACAGGAAGCAACAATTTGTACTCCGGTACAACCAATGAAAGCCATGCCATTAAGTACTGAGGGACCAGTCGCTTTAGCAGCGACTGAGGACCCGGCTAGAACCACTATCGTCCAGAATAGTTCCAATCTGGATGCTGAGAATAGTGGCAAATGGATTACGCGGAAACGCAAAAGAGACGGAAAAACACCCAAAGAAAGCGCGCGTATAGTCGGTAAGTCATCGTTGGACTCACGTCCTGAGCATCAGGCAACTCCGCTCAAGTCCATACGTAAGGAAATAATTAATACTGTTGTGGATGGAAATAGTCTAACTTCACCAAATGTTGTTGGGAGTAACTCGCTTGACCCACATGACACTGTCATAACGAAAGCTAATAGCAAGAAGCCGGTAGCTAACCGGCAGGATCTGACATCACGGTCAAAGGCCGTGAACACGACGTTTAAGGCAGTTAAACAGATGCCTAGTGTAATCATCTGGAACTTGGCAGAATCGAAAGACACTGATCCCGCTAAGAGACATGCCCACGACCTGCAGTTAGTGGGATCTCTCATCAGAAATATACTGCCAGAAGAGGTCCCAGGGGTACATATCTCGAAAGTCATCAGACTTGGTAAGTATGTTGGAGACGAAACCCAACAGAGAAGGATCCTCAAATTAGTACTCGGTAATTTTGAGGAACGGGACGTATTACTAAATAACTCACGCAAAACTCGTGACTCAAACATTCGTATTCGACCTGACTGGCCACTTGAGGATCGGATCAAGTGGAAGAATGCCCTAACAGAGTTAAAAACTCGAAGGCTAAACGGTGAAGCGAACCTTACGATTAAGGGTTTTCGGGTAGTCAGGTCTTGGAAGCCAATGCTTCCGAGACCTGTGTGGGTAGAACGCATGTCTCCAAAAACACCCTAAATGTGTGTTATACGAATGCTCGTAGTCTTCGGAATAAGATGTCTGAACTAAGTTTGATGGTAGACGACTTAAATCCGGATATAATTGTTATCACTGAAACTTGGCTCACTGTAGATATAGACTGTTCTCCAGTCATTTCAGGCTACATCTGTGTCAGAAGTGATAGAGTTAGAAGTCGCAAGGGAGGAGGCATAATATTATATATTAGGGACCACTTCCGCATTAACTCGATCATATCGGAGGCGCATGTAAGTGGTACGTGTGAGGTAGTATGTTGTACAATTAGGTCTAGAAACGGGTTAGTGACGATAGGAGGAATATATCGTAGTCCGTGTTGTCTCGCTGACGACTTTATCCTAAAACACGTCTGTTCTTGGAGTAAAGCAGAATGTTGTCTCATCGTTGGAGATTTCAATGCACCCCATATAAACTGGATAGAGCTCACAGCTCCAGGTGGGGGTTTCGATAGCGTCCTTCTGTCATCAATTATTCAATGTGCACTTGTACAATGTATCGTTAAGCCAACACATATAGACTTGGAACATAATCCGTCATTGATAGACCTTGTCCTCACACACCACTCTGAAGATATCGTTGACATTCAACATCTTCCCCCACTGGTGAATAGTGACCATGTCGTACTTTCCTTTAAATTCCGGATACATGGTATAGAATTTGCATCAGCTCCACCCCGTCCTAATATCTGGAGAGCTAATATTCCGGCAATCAGGGACTATGCTATCTCAATTGACTGGTCTGTCGACGCTGATGGATCGATTGATGATGCATGGAATAGGTTTAAGTGTACGTTCGAATCCGTAACTCAGCCGTTTATCCCATGGTCAGCACGTAAGTTATCATATTGCCCTCCATGGATTAATAAGGAAACCCGGAAGCTGTTGAAGCGTAGGAAACACTACTGGGACTTATTCTTGTCAACAGGTCAGGCATCATTTAAGTGCGAATATAAAAAAATCCGGAATATATGTAAAAAGACCATAGCTAAATCCCGCACGGCTTACGAACGACAGTTGGCATACGATAGCCGTACCTGTCCGAAGCGCCTGTTTTCGTACGTTAAAAGGCGGACGAAACGTAGTGATGGCATCCCCTCATTACTGTTAAGCGAAAATTCAGCTTTATTGGCTGAATCTGATCTGGCGAAAGCGGAGTTATTTGCTAACTATTTCAGTGAAGTCTACTCTACGTGTAGTGTTACAACTACTTGTCCCGTTGACAATGAGATACCAGCCATAGGACCCTTACACGTGACAGAGGATATAGTTCTTCCTTTGATAACTAACCTAAAACCTTGTAAGATACCGGGCCCCGATGGGTTACACCCACGTTTGCTGTCGTCGCTTGCGAACATTATCTCAAGACCGCTCACGATGCTCTTCAACATGTCCCTTTCACAGGCTCAACTACCTAGAGACTGGAAAGACGCCATAGTTAGTCCTATATTTAAGGATGGTCAGAGACGGATAGTATCTAACTACCGGCCTGTTGGCCTGACCAGTATAGTAGTTAAGTTACTTGAAAAATTAATTCGGGCTAAGCTACTGAGCCACATAGATTCGTACAATCTGTTAACTCCCGAGCAACATGGGTTTCGTAACAAGCATTCATGCTTGACTAACTTACTCTTTGCGAGAGAGGATTGGACAGCTGCACTAGACAACGGCCAGTCTGTCGACGTGATATTTATAGATTTTAACAAAGCGTTTGATAAGGTTTCACACTTAGGTCTCATGCAAAAGCTCTCGAGCTTTGGTATAACAGGTGCTATACAGGAATGGATAGGAAGCTTCTTATGTGACCGCAGACAGAGAGTGAGAGTCAATGGAACTCTATCCGAATGGAAACCGGTCAAAAGTGGTGTACCCCAAGGCACCATCTTGGGCCCTTTACTTTTCCTTCTGTATATTAATGAACTACCTTTATTACTGAAGTCGTCGACGTTATTGTTTGCGGATGATGTTAAAATCTGGAGAACAATAAGAAATGAGATTGATCGTTGTTATCTACAAGCAGATTTAGACGAATTAGTTAGGTGGGCTCATGATTGGGGCCTGGAAGTTAATTCCAGGAAGAGCGTGTTCATGCACATCGGGCACGATATTAGTTACCATTATACCATTAATGGTACATCTCTGCCACGCGTTCATACGCATAAAGACTTAGGAGTAATTATAAGTCACGACTTAAAAACTACTACGCACTGCAGTGCGGTTGCTTCCAAAGGCTATCGCGCGCTATGGTCGCTTCGCAGAGCATTTAAATGCTTTGACGAGGATATGTTTCGAATTTTATATCCCACCTATGTAAGGCCACACTTAGAATACTGTATCCAAGCAGCTAGCCCTTGTCTGATAAAGGATACTAAATCGCTTGAGCGTGTCCAGCGTGTAGGGACAAAATTAGTAAAGGGTCTTTCCAAACTCCCTTACGATGAGCGTTTAAAACGTCTAAATCTTTTCCCCTTATCTTATTGTAGGACGCGAGGTGACCTTATACTGGCATTTCGTATCTTTAATTATGATCTGGGTGTTAATATGTCTTACCTTTTTGCTCCCTCCAGCACTAATAATCTCCGGGGTCATAGCAAGAAGGTTCTGAAACCGCGATCTAATAAACTAAAGGTGGGGTCCCGTTTTTCTCATCGAGTGGTCAATGACTGGAACGCTTTACCAGAACAAGTGGTATCAGCACCATCAGTGAACATTTTCAAAAAGAAGCTGGACCTTCACTGGAAGGAAATCTGTCAGGATTAACACAGGTTCATCAACCTACTATCCTTATTACTGAAGACTGAAGACTGAAGACTGTATATGCATCTCATTGAGGTATTTAGTCCAACTGCATTTCCAACCAACTGATCTTGCTGGTGGTTACGGACGAATGTTATCCCTTGTTGTTCTGCAAATACGTTTTGTGGTAGCTTACGCTTTGTGATTGTTCCACGATTTCACTTTCCGTGGTATATAGCACAGTGAAATCGTAGTATATAGCTATGAGTCTTTAAGATTCATTGTTTAATTGAGCAACTGATGATGAATCTTCCCGTGTATTGGGGATCGTAAATATGGAAGAATACAAATGCAAACGCATTAACCGTTACCCAGCAGGTCATGTTGTGTAAACGTGTACATCGTGAACAGCTGTTTGGTAGTTTTGAGAGCAAAGTAAACCACGACCTTATGCTTTTAGGTTCTTCTAAATGCTTAGATTACAAGCAAGTACCTCTCAGTAGTCTCGGATGTAAATTATTAGTCACTTGCTAGTCAAATATTACATTCATTTCTTACAAGGAGATGCGATCATCTTAAATGACCACAAATAGTTGTTTATTAATAGCATTGTCCGGACGATCTCCAGATTCTCAACAGTTAGGTTTGAAATCACTGCAACAATTACAGTTCTTCAACAAAAATGCTAAAGCCACCACGGATCCTTTATCGGGAAGTAATTTAAATAAAGGAGTGTATACATAGATCACATAGCTAAGCTCAATAGATATGACCTAGTTTTAGTCTGCTGAGGGAAACCTAACGTAAGCCTTGGGAGTTTCTCTAGATACAAAAAAGGTTGAGCAAGAAATAGATTATAGACAAACATTAAAAATTATAATTTTACCTAAAGTGTGCACGAGTGTTTGGGTTATGTACAAAGTATTCTAGAGTTCATCTTGTCGACGTTAGTCCTCAAGTAGCTGTTTCCCAGAGTTATTTCCCGTATACATGAACATCGTATGGAACTTATGCTTTGCTACAACACATTAACTGCTTTAATTTTCTTACCAGGTGGGTATTAAAGTCAGTCAAACTGACTAGAGTTTATGGATTTAAGGAAGTGGTTCGAAAGAACATTATGTCCTAGCGTATTCTGACCAAAATTTTACTACTTAGTATAGGAGCGTAAGGAAATGGTACAAAGATTTAAGTACTTTAGTCGCTCGAACGTACGAAAAGTTCAGGGCTATTAACAGATGAGAATGGGGGTAAAGTTAACGTATTTGGATAGTGGTAAGTTTCGACAGGTTGAAGCCCTTCTGTCTGCCATCAAACGTTCACCGTCCTTGTTTTCAACAAAAATTGGTTTTAAACCATTGTTGAAGATGATCCTTTACTGATTTTGTCAAGATTACAACTATTTAGCAACATCAGTGACTTCAGTTTACAGAAGCAGCCTGGGAGTATGATCAAGCTTTAAATTTTACTGTGTTGTCTACAATGACTGCATTCTAGTTGTTCAATATTTGATTCTTTAAGGGTTTTGAGGTTAATCATTTGATTATATAAACAACTAATTTCTGTTTTACTTATTCAATTTGTTTCCTCTAGCTACAACTATTAGTATTATACTTTAGAGCTGATATTACTAAATTTCGTTACAATGGACTTTTTTATTGGCCATTCATTATCTAAAACAAGGATATTATCTGCGTGTTGTTTGATCCTTATTTCAATTTCGACAATATACACTAATATATTAGACAAATGCAGCATTTCTCAGAGTCGTTTAGCACGTTCCATCCTAAATGAGGTAAGTTATTGAGTTTCGAAATATTCATTTAATTGCAGAGAAGATTGTCTTCCCACTATTTAAATATACAGGTGTTGCTATGAATGAACTATGCCCTTTTCATCCTAAACATGATATTTATGCTATTCATGAACAAATGAAAAATAAAATTTCTGATTATGATTGGGAATGTCAAATGTGTGGTAAACGATTCTACACAGAAAATACATTCGATTTACATATTGGTAATAGACATGAAACAAATGCTTATAGTACCAGTCGCACAATTTGTTTATCGTCCTATTGTTCGTTACTTCGTTGTTCTGTGCTAAAACCAGATGTTGATTATGGTTATCAAGTGTTTTGGGATGAAGCATTATGTGATCCAAAGTCATTTGAAGCTATCTCAAGGCAATGTGAGGTAGGTATTCTTTTATGTTCCGAAAATTCGTTCTTCTCGAGATATATTTTCTATTACCTAAACTTCCTTTTCTATCTCTGATAATGTTATTGTTTATATCATTCTAATATCTATCTCGCCTTGCTGATACATTGTGACGAATCGAGTCAATACACGTATTTGTTAGGTCTTACCTTTTTTGACAACTCACTATTAGAACAACATATGTAAGCGAACAATTGTTTTCAATTAGATCGTCATCAGGCTTTACTCTAATATACATGAATATTTATATGAAAATGTTAGACCAATCAAGGCTATTTGAGTCAATAATAATCACAATGAAATAGAATACGTTACCAAGCATAATAATGTTAGTATGTTAGTATGAAAAATATGTTCTCACTAGATGTAGTATCCTTGTTTACTAACGTACCACTTATGGAGACTATTGAGTTCATATGCGAGCAAATAACTGAAAAGCAAATCAACATTGGCCTGCCGGAAGATTGTCTGAAAGAACTGCTTTTAAGATGTACACTGAATGTTCATTTCGTTTTCAACAATTCCTATTATAGACAAATAGACGGAATAGCCATGGGCTCACCTCTAGGCCCGATTCTTGCTGATCTCTTCTTAGCTAAGCTAGAAAATGGCCCACTTAAGGAGGCTATTAAGAAGCTCGATCTATACTGCCGCTACATCGACGATACATTCATAGTCGTGGATCAGAACACCAGTAAGGATGAACTACTTGAACAGTTCAACAGTGTACATCCAGCGATTAGCTTCACTGGTGAAGGCGAGTGTGACATGAAGCTGAATTTCCTTGACGTTACACTAAGCAGGCGAAGTGATGGCTCGTTAAGTAGAAGCGTGTATAGAAAAAGACCCTCTACCTGCCAATACACTCACTTCTATAGCTTTACACCTATCCAATATAAGAGAAACTTGGTTAAATGCCTCACTAGTAGAGCAAATAAGATCTGTTCTGTTGATACTTTAAGTCAGGAACTGGAATTTATCTATAACTCACTGACTGAGATCGGCTACCCTGCTGCGTTCATCAAAAAGTACATGTATGATACAAGGAAGAAATCAGAGATTTTAACTGTTCGTAAGAAGCCTCTATACATGAAATTACCATTCAACGGGGATGTAGCTAGTGAAACTCTGAAAGATAGGTTAACAAAAGTAATTAGTAGAACTTTCTACGCAGCCTATCTTGCATTGACTTTCTCGAGTCGACCAGTGATGTCTACTCAAACGAAGGATAAGTTACCTGAGTTGGCCTCCTCCATGTGCATTTATAAGTTCAGCTGCTCCTGTGGAGATAGCTATATCGGGCGTACTACTAGGCAACTTAACCAACGAATGAGTGAACATCTACCAGCATGGTTTGGAAAGGGCCAAATAAAAACAATACGCAGTTCTATCTTGGCACATCTAATTGATAGTGGTCATATTGTCGATAAATTGAAATCATTTCAAGTGATCTATCGTATACCTCCATCGTTTCCCAACGGAGTTCGCTCCCGTCTACTTCATATAGCAGAAGCCATAGGGATTCGTACATTCCATCCCAATTTATGTGTACAGAAGAAATTCGTAACCCCCCTATCCCTTCCATGGCCGGACATAACTTAATAATTGACATTATTATTATTTGTAAAAAATTTTATTTTGGTTATCATTTTTTTTTTTGTTTGTTTGTAATTTTCTACCTCTTTCCGTTTGTGTTCTTCACTATCTATTTACTTACATACTTCTTATTACGTAATGATTTTAATGTTTTGTGATTACTATTCCAGACTATTTACCCACGTTTGACCTCTTAATTCTTATGTTTAATTATTGATAAGACTTTTGTTATCATAATTTACTATTCTTACTACTATCAGTACACCTGTCTTCCCACTATCAACTTGTACTTTTAACTATTATTATGCTTGGTAACGTATTCTATTTCATTGTGATTATTATTGACTCAAATAGCCTTGATTGGTCTAACATTTTCATATAAATATTCATGTATATTAGAGTAAAGCCTGATGACGATCTAATTGAAAACAATTGTTCGCTTACATATGTTGTTCTAATTTTCACAATGGGAATCTTTAATATTCTAAAATCACGTGGGGACCCTGTTGCATTCAAGGCACTCAATGAGTTCCTGAAGTTCAGTGCACGTCTCACAGAAGCGAAAACGAGCTTAGGATTTACTATAAACTGCATACAATCTAACAGTTATCCTAAAATATATTGGAAGTCTTTACGCCGCAACAGAATCTATCCTAATGCAAAAACTCTTGAAAGACATGCATCGAATCAAATCGATACATTAAAATTGAAAATCTATGACTTGGAAAGGAATCTCCTTCAGAGACAAGATTCCGTTGAAAACCTACCGTCTGAGCTTCAGTCAATGTTCATGGATTACGTTGAAAAAATTGCCAAGAATAGATCGGACAAGACGATGACAAAACTGGTGAAAACTTTGGAAAACAAAAAACCAGATAAGGAATTTCCTTTCGACCCGAAACGGTACGTACACAATTTTTCCAATATCGAACTAGATGTAATACAGCTAGAAGCATTATCTTTGGGGCCTAAGTTCTGTGATAGTAGACATAAAATCAACCCATTAGATATTGATGTACAGTTTGAGAATCTATTTTCACAAACAAGTGACTTGATTCCCACCTCATCAGAGGACCTAGTCAGGTTTAAGACCACTTTAGTTGACAGCAGCCAACAATATAAGAATAGTAAAAGCACTACTAACCGCCTACTTACCAAGCAGCACCGAGACTGTTTAACTAAACTAAGAAAGGAGGAAACCTTGATTATAAGTAAACCTGATAAAGGAGGAGGCATAGTGCTGATGAATAAAAAGGACTACGTTGAAAAGATGGAAACAATGCTTAATGATCCCAGCAAATTTCAAAAAGTCACCAGTCATTCCGATATCAATAAAAAAGTGGAAAACCAGTTGACTAACTCTCTTAAGGATTTAAAGAATAAGGGAATAATTACAAAAGAGATTCTTGATTCTATCAAACCCTCTGGATCTTATACGCCACGACTGTATGGTTTACCCAAAGTTCATAAACCAGGTCTTCCACTGCGCCCAGTCCTAGATATGTTCAATTCCCCTTATCACAAAATTGCAAAATGGCTAGTACGTATCTTAGAGCCCTTGCACAAATCAATTGTTAGTACGAGCGTAAAAGATGTATTCGACTTCACTTCCAAAGTGGAAAATATGAATGTTAGTATGAAAAATATGTTCTCACTAGATGTAGTATCCTTGTTTACTAACGTACCACTTATGGAGACTATTGAGTTCATATGCGAGCAAATAACTGAAAAGCAAATCAACATTGGCCTGCCGGAAGATTGTCTGAAAGAACTGCTTTTAAGATGTACACTGAATGTTCATTTCGTTTTCAACAATTCCTATTATAGACAAATAGACGGAATAGCCATGGGCTCACCTCTAGGCCCGATTCTTGCTGATCTCTTCTTAGCTAAGCTAGAAAATGGCCCACTTAAGGAGGCTATTAAGAAGCTCGATCTATACTGCCGCTACATCGACGATACATTCATAGTCGTGGATCAGAACACCAGTAAGGATGAACTACTTGAACAGTTCAACAGTGTACATCCAGCGATTAGCTTCACTGGTGAAGGCGAGTGTGACATGAAGCTGAATTTCCTTGACGTTACACTAAGCAGGCGAAGTGATGGCTCGTTAAGTAGAAGCGTGTATAGAAAAAGACCCTCTACCTGCCAATACACTCACTTCTATAGCTTTACACCTATCCAATATAAGAGAAACTTGGTTAAATGCCTCACTAGTAGAGCAAATAAGATCTGTTCTGTTGATACTTTAAGTCAGGAACTGGAATTTATCTATAACTCACTGACTGAGATCGGCTACCCTGCTGCGTTCATCAAAAAGTACATGTATGATACAAGGAAGAAATCAGAGATTTTAACTGTTCGTAAGAAGCCTCTATACATGAAATTACCATTCAACGGGGATGTAGCTAGTGAAACTCTGAAAGATAGGTTAACAAAAGTAATTAGTAGAACTTTCTACGCAGCCTATCTTGCATTGACTTTCTCGAGTCGACCAGTGATGTCTACTCAAACGAAGGATAAGTTACCTGAGTTGGCCTCCTCCATGTGCATTTATAAGTTCAGCTGCTCCTGTGGAGATAGCTATATCGGGCGTACTACTAGGCAACTTAACCAACGAATGAGTGAACATCTACCAGCATGGTTTGGAAAGGGCCAAATAAAAACAATACGCAGTTCTATCTTGGCACATCTAATTGATAGTGGTCATATTGTCGATAAATTGAAATCATTTCAAGTGATCTATCGTATACCTCCATCGTTTCCCAACGGAGTTCGCTCCCGTCTACTTCATATAGCAGAAGCCATAGGGATTCGTACATTCCATCCCAATTTATGTGTACAGAAGAAATTCGTAACCCCCCTATCCCTTCCATGGCCGGACATAACTTAATAATTGACATTATTATTATTTGTAAAAAATTTTATTTTGGTTATCATTTTTTTTTTTTGTTTGTTTGTAATTTTCTACCTCTTTCCGTTTGTGTTCTTCACTATCTATTTACTTACATACTTCTTATTACGTAATGATTTTAATGTTTTGTGATTACTATTCCAGACTATTTACCCACGTTTGACCTCTTAATTCTTATGTTTAATTATTGATAAGACTTTTGTTATCATAATTTACTATTCTTACTACTATCAGTACACCTGTCTTCCCACTATCAACTTGTACTTTTAACTATTATTATGCTTGGTAACGTATTCTATTTCATTGTGATTATTATTGACTCAAATAGCCTTGATTGGTCTAACATTTTCATATAAATATTCATGTATATTAGAGTAAAGCCTGATGACGATCTAATTGAAAACAATTGTTCGCTTACATATGTTGTTCTAATTTTCACAATGGGAATCTTTAATATTCTAAACTCACTATTACATTTAAACGTGTTAACCTAGAATAATTGGTTAGAATAATAGTATGGGAGCATGGGGATCTCGAATTATTGGGTTGCTATGTAATTAAGTGAGTCAGTCGAAGTTATTGATATTTAAAAGTAAAATATTCTATTGGTTTAACTCAAGAATTTGCCAATATATACGAACAAATACAGGTCAATAAAACAGCCACTGCATCATTAGGCCTCAACATAAACAAGGGAAGAAGCAAGATTCTCAAATACAACACAGAGAACACCAACTCAATCACACTTAATGGAGAAGCTTTAGAAGAGGTGGAAACATTCGCGTACCTTAGAAACATCATCGATGAACAAGGAGTATCGGGTGTGGACGTAAAGGCGAGGATTGGCATGCGAGACTAGCATTTCTACATTTAAAGAACATATGAAACTCACAGCAACTGGAAACCAATATCCAAAAGTCACAGTAGTCAATACGAACACCAAGTCAATCCTACTGTACAGAGCTGAAACTTTGAGAACTACCACAACCATCATCAAGAGAGTACGAGTATTTGTAAACAGTTGTCTGAACAAGAAACTGAATATCCGTTGGCTGGATACCATCATCAACGGCCTTCTTTGAGAGAGGACAAAATAGCTTCCAGCTGAAGAGGAAATTAGAAGGAAACGTTAAAGTGGATAGGACATACATTATGGAAATCACCAAAATGCATCACGAGGTAAGCGCTAACTTGGAATCCTGAAAGGAAGCGAAAAAGAGTAAGGCTAAAGAACACACTATATCGGGAATTGGAAGCAAACATGGGTAGGATAAATAGTGACTGAAAAGGATTGCCCATGACAGAGTCGGATGGAGAGTGCTGGTGAGCAACCTATGCTCCTCCATGAGGAATAACAGGTGTAAGTAAGTAACTGACAAGATTCGAAGTAAGAGAGCTTTATAAAGTTATTTAATCAGATGCGGGCTATGTTACTAAAGTAAAGAATAACTGACAGTAGCTTTCTATTGTAAACGTACATCAAGTTGCAGATACGTTATATTCGCGGGAAGCATTGGGCCCAAATATATGGATAGTCAGGGTTACAGTTGTGTTAAGGTGATGTACATATGATAGTTTACATCATGACTTAAAAGTATATCATTTTTGAGGTGAAAGAACACAAAACTTGTCTGGTCAAGACACACGTCTTCATAGGACCAAGTAAACGGGTAAATATAAGTCATGACGAGTAGAGGCAATGCATTATCTTCTAAACTTCATTCAAGGTGTCTGTTAAGAAAGTGTAATTATTAAGCTTAAGACATGAAACGTTGAACGGATATTGAAAAGAATGTTAGTGGATTTCTACAGAAATTGTCTTAGAAATCCAAATTTTTATGGGGTTTTTCAATTTTTATCGTCGATAAATTCAAGTTTTCTTCAGGTAAAATCACTAAATAGCCTTGTTATCGATTTTTTATTTTATTTTATTCATATTCTCTTTTTGTATATACTAGGATATCTTGAATAAGTGTATACCATCTGGAAATGACAGTAGTAGTACACAACTACGTCGTAAGTTGTAAATTCAGTTTTCTTGAAACAAACGCTATTATTTATGCTTATTTAGTTCTGTAAATTTCTTGTTACTAAAAGTTCTCAAATGCCCTGATACGGCCGAGAGTGAGGAGGGCCCGCCCTCTCGAAATGTTCTCACATGACCACGCGTATATAGCCTCTGCCAGGGAAGTCCTACTCACTGCCTTCTCGTGACAGGGTGTTGTTTATAAAGTTGAGAGGACGTGAATCGAATGTCCGGCGCTTTAACTGAGTTGGTAGACACAAAAAGTTCACCTAGGGGAGTTGGAAAACCCTCATTCCAAAATAATGGTTCACATGGGCTCCAGTATCCTAATGGAACAAATGGTGTATGAATCAATCGTTGTCAATGGCTACCATGGGACTGCATCTTCTCACGATGCTCCACTGCCTTGTGGTTCAAAACTTTAGGTCAAAGGCTCGGGGTGTGGCCCCCTAAGAAAACCATCTGGTTCGGTTTGGGCACCCGGCAGTATCCCAGCTCACACATGAATCAAATAAGATTTGTTTGGCGCTTATGTATCTTGTGCTTCCTTGTACCAATATTTATGTGTTTAAATAAAGAAATAAATGGTTCTAAAAATAAATCTCATAATGCTATCGATATCGTGAACTGACCCAAGTTAGATATGGATTGAGAACCAGCCAGATAATAATAGGTTACAGATATGTGATGAATAGAATGAGAAATGTACACACACATACGCTCATATAAAAAACAGTCACGGTTAATAAGTGAATAATTAACAAGATCAAAACGTGACTCAAGATGAATAGGTAAATTAGCTTGTCCAGAATCTAGAATAAGGTATATGGGCTTAACATATCAACCGACACTACAGTAGGTAAAGACTGATCTAGTTGGGCATCTGCGTGTTTGTGTGATCAATAATTGGAGACTTTGTGTAACGTAGCCCAGAATCGGTCCTTCCTTCCTTCCTTCCTTACGCCTGTTACTCCCAATGGAGCATAGGCCGCCGACAGAATCGGTCACAATATCACAAATACGTTTAATTTTTTGTCTAAGTCTAGATCTCCAGTTTTAAGACTAATTTATACGTTTTGTTGCATGAGTTCATTTCCCCAAATCATCATTGTTATGATGTGAGTTGTTCGATACTAATATTGGTACGTAAACTTCGTATATGCAAGCTGCTAACCAGATACTGAATGAGAAGATTGGTAATGAAAGTGTTAGGGAGACCCAGAAAATTCCTTGAAAAAGGGTCAAAACGATTCTGAAAACTCTGGGAAACACCCTATGCAATCAGCATTCAATAGACAATAGACATCTAGAAAGTAAAAAGTCACGTGTCAAATTTCTGATAGGATGATTTCCTATCCTGCTACTATGTTTAGAGGGGCTCCAGAACTTCCCAAAAACCCAAGGCCATCTGAAATGCTATAAATGCCCTGGATTTTCTGTACACAAAATAACCTTGGAGTAAAGCTTTTTTTTCATATTTCGCACCTTTTCTCTCGTGTTCAAGTTGCCCTGAGGTTATTAGAAGAGCTTAACGAACTGATTCAAGTGTTCAACTAGAAGATTTCTGTCAGGAACGTTTACAACCACTGACAATAGAACTTACTGTTATGATATATTATGAAAACTGAGACCAATCCATATTGTGTTATTTTAATTTGATGAATACTTTTCTCATTATTTTTATCATCATGCTTCTAATACTCCTTCATGGAAAATGATTATCATTGGATGGTTTTCTAATCACAATAATAATGATGATCGATTATAGAACTACTTCAAACTACACTATGTGATCAGTTATCTTGCGATCGGTATTGGATTTTACCAGATTCACATGTAAGTTTTAATTGTGATAGATGTTAATTAGTTGTTAATTTAGTTTGTAATAAGCAAAGGTGGATAGTGGCTAGCAGTGGAATCCAGGACGCGCACCACTTCGTCCTATTTGGGACTCGTCAGCTGGATGTACCTGCATCTCAGAGTTGATGTTCACTCTGCGACTCGAACCCAGTACCTTTCACTTCAAACGCCATCGTGTTATCCACTTGGCCAATGAGTCCTGATAGCCACATCCAGCTGACGAGTCGCAAATAGGACGAAACGCGCGTCCTGGATTCCAGTGCTAGCCACTATCCATCTTTGCTTACCATGCTTGTGGATTTAGGCTATATCGAGGCAATATGCACAGTATGCACATGAGCCAATTAGGGACTGACCAGTTGCAGTCCTAACACATCGATGGGAAGATTCAACCAAACAATACTAAGTGAATCAGTTTGAAATAGTTTAGATTATCACATTGTTGATATTTCGTCATTCTTAGTCGCGATACCAGCATCCTGTGTGAATTACCTCGATACAACCATTATGACATAATTTGATAAAGGATAGATGAAGTGTGGCTAGCATTAAAATCCAAGATTCACGTTTCATCCTATTTGGGAATCGCTTTTAGCTGAATATACGTGCATCCTAGGGTTGATGTCTACTGGGAGACTCGAACATAGTACCTTTCGTTTCAAACCCCAATGCATTTGAATCCCGAAGTGGACATCAACTCTGGGATCTAGGTACATTCAATTAAAGATAAGTGTCAAATAGGATGAAATGCTCGTCCTGAATTCCTCTGTAAGCCACGTTCCGTCTGTTCTATATCTAGCTGGTTATTGTTGATATTTTTGTTTATTTATGGACAATTAATTTCTACTTCTACTATTCATGGTTCTTGATGTGTGGGCGAGAATGATAATGGAATGGAACATATTAGGATCCCATCGTAAGACCCTCAGTCAAATGGACAAGCAGAAAATATTTTTGATATTCTTAAGCCAGCTGTCTTAAAGACGGGGGGGGAAGATAACGTATAAGAAACTCTGCAACAGTTTCTAATCTCTTATACGATTTCGCCTAGTCCAAACTGTCAAGACGGAAAATCACCAACCGAAGTAATATTTGGCCGACTAATTAGGACATTTTTTGATGTTTTGAACCGGAAAGACAGAATGAGTGGACTACAAAACAATGAGAAAAAAAATTACCTGGAGATTCGAGAATTTAAAGCAGATGACTTAGTTTATGCACATGATTTCCGGCTTGGAAAGCCAAAGTAATAATATAGGTATATAAAAAAGAAGGGAGTCTATTATATGAACTGAATATCATTCAACGCACGACGGTTTTTGTGTTTTTTTAATACCATTTAAAAATTTTTTTCATTCCGTTTTGTCCAATTAAATGGCTAGCGGTTAAGTGCCCTGGAGCTAGACTAATAGGTCCTGGGTTCGAATCTCGCGAGGCGACGTCGTGGATGCACACTGTTGAGGAGTCCCACAATAGGATGAAACTACCGTCCAGTGCTTCCAGGTTTTCCTTGGTGGTCTAGCTTCAATTGACTCACGTTTTCAACTATCTTTAAGTTCGTTATAATTGATTATTTATTTCTTAAAATTGATACAAAATGTAAATACTTGTTGACAGAGCAACTTTTCTTAAAATTATGGACTTACAAAGTACAAACTGTCGTTTCTCACGTTGTGGGCTTTCAATTTGGCGTAATTACCTAACGTTTACAATATAAATAGGCACATTGCTTACCAGGAAGATTGACCTTTGAGAACACTTTGTGGTGCATATTAAAAACATCTTGATATTCAGGCGCTTTCCATAAGATTGGTAAGTGAAGTGCACAATATTGAATGCTGCTGTCCCCGAAATCAGAAGTGGTCTCACTGTTTCCAATTCAGCGTCCGTTAACCTGCGCATTCAAGAATTTTTATCATACCTCAGGGAATTGAACTCATGATTGTGATGAACATTCCCACGAACAACAGTCCAGTAACCTTCAATAAACTTACACAAGATGGAGGTCGGACATTATGTGTTCATTGAAGTTGTTCTCTTCCGCGGTAGGTTGTTGCTGGTGATATCTGGTTAACTAATATTAAAAGTCCTCCTTGGACAATTGTTTATAAATACTTGTATGTTTTCGATGATGATTGTAATAGTTCTCCAAGTTTCCGCTCCGTACAATAGAACTGTCTTGATGTTCGTATTGAATATTGTGTCTTTTTATATTGGTTCCCAGTTGTTTTGAGTTCCATATTTTCTTCAGTTGTAGGAGTGCTGTCATTTTTTTTCAAATCCTTGCATTTACATCTGCATCCGATCTTTCTTGTTTATCGAATATGCTACCCAGATATGTGAAAGTTTTTATTGTGATCATGAACTGATCAATGTTAGACTACCATTAAAAACCTCGAAGCACCGGACGGCTGCTTCGTCCTTATATGGAGGCACTCAACTGTGCGCATCCACGATATTGCCCGACCACTTGACATTGTCTTCTGTGGCTAACTGCCCCACACCCTACACAGTTAAACTCCACTTTTCGCGGCTTCTCTCCAGCATTGTGAGAACTAATTTTGGAAGCTAGTCACTAGTGAGTATATGATGATTATCAGTATAGTGTTATGGAGATTGTTGAGTTTTAATTGAGACCATGAATCCATCAGTGTTAAGCCACCATTAAAATGCTGAAAGTACTGGATGACTGTTTCGTCAAATCATTAAAACAACGTAGTAAATTGGGATTTTATGCTCATTACTTAATAACGTACTTGTTCTGTACCCATTTTTTTCCATAATAAAGATTCAAACTTCTGTATTGGAAAAAGTACTCACTGCAGTCATCTTAACAGCCGGTTTATTGATTTATTATTCTGTAATATTTATGAGATTAAGGTAAGTTCTCAAAGTGTGGTAAATAGTAATAAGTATGAATATTCCTTTACTATTTCACATTAAAATTGGCTTGAAATTTACTTAGTATTGTTTGTTTGGATCTTCCCATTGATGTTTTTAGGACTACAACTGGTCAGTCAGCTGACGAGTCCCAAATAGGACGAAACGCGCGTCCTGGATTCCACTACTAACTACTATCCATCTTTGCTTATCATGCTTGTAAATTTAGGCTATATCGAGGCAATACGCACAGTATGCACATATGCCAATTAGAGACTGACCACTTGCAATCCTAAAACATCAATAGGGAGATCCAAACAAACAATACTAAGTAAATTTCAACTTCACCCGATTGCACAAGCAAGTGGCTATGAGGACTCAGTGGCCGAGTGGATAACGCGATTGCATTTGAAGCGAACGGCAATGGGTTCGAGTCCCAGAGTGAACGTCAACTCTGAGATGCAGGCAAGCCCAGCTGACTAGTCACAAATAGGACGGAAACTGGTTTGTTTCGTATTAGTACATTTTGTATAGTATATCGAATCTGATCACTTTGTTCAGGAATTTTGAGTTTATATTGCAGTGGACTCCAGCAGTCGGCAACCATGCTTACGGCTAAATCTGAATCCAAGATCTCTAGGTTTTGCTGCGTACGCTTCGCCCGTAGATCACTGAATCAGCATCCATTGGTTTATATTTACATTTGTACCATGTCTTAGGTCGTCCGTAGTGTGATTACCATCTAACTTCTAAGCTGATCACTGTTACTCATCAGATTAAGTGGAGCGTGATACCTTGGTGGTAAAACTTTTCAACTTCTTTCCACTAGTTCACCGGTTCGATCTCTGTTTGGTACTTTAGTTTGCGCAAACGGAAATTGTCAGTTTAGTTCTCACACCTAAAGTATTACTCAAAACCAAATGTATGAACCATCTATACTTGAAAAATGGGTTGCCCGGTTAAGAAGAGATGATTGGGAGGGGGTTCCAACCACTTCTCTTAGCTGACGAAGTTTTTGCATCAACTTTCTTCCAATTTGTCTTTAATACTTAGTGCTTTACAAACTAACAAGTTTTATTCACCAAAGGTGCTCCTTGTGGATGCAATTACTGCTTCAAAGAAACCTGTCAATTCTTGGTGAAATTTGGACTTAGTAGTAGGACAATAATTACGAAATTACCTCTGAATGGTATCCATTCAAATGGTCGAATGAAAGAAGGCACACATTAATAAGGGCAACGATCAAAAAGAAACATGTTGATAAAGATAAGCATTGAAAGGGGGGATAACATTTTTACTGGTTTGAAATATCCTCAATTTATCCTCTGTCCCTTCGCTCTATATGACCAATCAAAAACGTAGTTTCCTAGACGTTCAATGAAGAGTCTACACTCAAAAGATACTGTGATTGCTCGAATTTGATAAAAAATTGTCATTCATATTAGTCCAGTCATGTTATCTCTTATTTAAACAGATAGGGGAGAATCTATTTAGAGGGGTTTTCAAAAAAAATGCCTTAGAAATGTTTAGTGAATTTCATATTGAATGTATGAATGACGCTGTAGTAGACATTATTGTCGGTCACCGGCTACCATGGAACGGCATCCCCTTACGATGCTCCACTGTCTGGTGAATCAGACCTTTAGGTCAAAGGCTCGGGGTGTGGCCCCCTAAGAAAACCATCTGGTTCGGTTTGGGCACCCGGGCAGCACCATAGCCCTTACACAGTTAAATGAAATGACAATTTTTGTGCGGCGCATATATATCTGGTGCCTCCTTACACCAATATTTATGTGTTCAAATAAATAAATACGGCGCATTTTGATTTCCGCTATATCAATATCTTCATTATTTACTGAAAAGAATATTATTTATAAGCTTTCTCTGTCGTTTTTTTTGTAGTTCATCGTTCTGTCGTTTACGTATCTCCAGTCTTTCTGTTCCACGAAGCAGTAAAAAAGCGTTTCGATCTTATTACACTGACAAATAATGAGACGTGATAATGAATCTCTACGCCAAATGACTAACTTCGGTAATCAATAAAATGTTGTACAGTTCACAAGATGAATTCCGTCTTTTTATTGTAACGATCTGTATTTCTACATTGTTGGTATTTGGTGATCTAATTTTCATGAATTAGAATTATGATGGATGATTAATGTCGTACGATGTTTTAACTGGTAAATAACTGCATCTCTGTGCTAATATGGTTGGTATGGCAACTCGAACTGATGTACGTACGTACGAAGTTCTATGTTGTGACCGACTGACTGACTGGTAAATATTACTTATTTTAAAGTTCCAACATGATCATCAATAATTATTTATTTATTTAAACACATAAATATTGGTACAAACGGGCACCAGATACATATGCGCCACACAAATCTCATTTGATTTGTGTGAAGGCTGTGATACTGCCCAGATGCCCAAACTAAAGCAAGTAGTTTGCTTGGAGGGCCACACCCGGAGCCTTTGACCTTAAGGTCTGATCCACAAGGCAGTGGAACATCGTAAGGAGATGCATTCCCGTGGTAGCCAGTGATCAACGAGATTCATACGCTATTTGTTCGTTCAGGATTCTGGAGCCCATGTGCACCATTGGTTTGGAATGAGGGTTTTCCAACTCCCCTAGCTGGATGCGCCATGTCCACCAACCCGATTAAAGCGCCGGACATTCGCTTTTCGTCATCTCAATTTAGTAAACAACAGTAATGCCAGTGAGTAGGAATTCCCTGTCAGAGGCTATATATGTGTTGCCATGTGAGAGCATTTGCAGAGGGAGAGCTGACTCTCCTCACTCTCGGCCGTACCAGGTCATTTGAGGGTGATCATCAATACATGGGTACAAGAAAATTTAGCCAATGAGTTTTCACAAAATAATACTCATTTTTTGGATTTGACTATTAGTCATTCATTAGTTCACATTTGTACTTTCTAGATAACAGAGTTTTAACGTTGATCATCAACTACATATACTACTGTACTTCCTTTACTTTTTATGCTTTAGTGGCTCGGGATCTGACTCCATGTAGATCGTATGAATGATTGCTATCGAAATATACATTCTAACTATTTTCGTATATTATTATCGAATTAATCTGCGTTAGTGAATATAACGGAATTAAATAACCCGAATACGACAATGGATTTTTACTACTTCTATCACTATGGGATTTGAATCGACAACTGCATCTCTGTGTTAATGCGGTATGGCAACTCGAACTGATGTACGTACGTACGAAGTTCTACGTTGTGACTGACTGACAATGGATTTTGAATATGTATATTTCATGTACTCAATGATTTGAACAGGCAATTAGGTAGACGAAGAAACAAAGAGAAGAGAGCGAAATGAAAATGACACACAGAGGAGAAGGTATGTGAGCCAACTTCATTGAATCAATGTTTGTAGCCGGATAAAAATAGGTGACAGATATGTGATGAATAGGATAAAAAGTTGTATGACAGTGTCGGTTGATATGTCAAGCCCGTATACCCTTATTCTAGCTTCTGGACAAGCTAATTTACCTATCCATCATGAGTCACGTTGCGACTTTGTTTATTATTCACTTATCAACCCTGACTGTTTTTATATGAGCGTATATGTGTGTACACTTCTTTTCCTATTCATCACATATCTGTAATTTATTTCAAACTGACTATAAATATTGATTGACGCTCGATTAAAGCGAGTTGGCTTATCCGCCATCTCCAATGCGTGTCATTTCTGCTTCTCTCTCTTGTATTCGCTTCATCACTCTGATTTCCTGTCCAGATCAATGATTGTTGAAAATATATATATTCTAAGTCCATTCTCGTATTTGACTTATTGAACTCCGATATCCATCAACGCGGATTAAGTCATTTTATCGCATACGAAGATAGACAGGATGTATATTTTGACAGCAATCATTCATACGATCTCAATTGGAATCAGATCTATGGTCCCTATATGTACACGCATACGCTCATATAAAAAGTCCAGGTTGATAAGTGAATAATTAACAAGATCAAGATGTGACTCATGATGGATGGGTAAATTAGCTTGTCCCAAAGCTAGAATAAGGTATATGGGCTTAACATACTAACCAACACTACAAGGCGTTTTATTTATCCAATTGGGTTTTCTTCTGCCAAAACCACATAGACATATAGCAAGATTTACCCACTTTGAACTAGAGCAGTGTATTCTATGGGATTTTATTGTGATGGGACTTTCTCCAAGTTTCAAATCATCTGATTAAAGAAGAAAACATGAAAATATTAACATATTCATCAGCCAATCTCTTGCTGCTGTGGACAGTAGTAAGGGTTTCTCAGCATACTTTGTTTTGCTCCAAATGTATTGAATACGGTCCTACAAAGCTAAAAAAAATCAAGCAGTGTTAACTGGAACCAGATTTATTACACACTAATATCAACGAAACTATCTTAACTTGGTAGTATATGCAGTAGGGTTTGTGTTTGTGAAGTTTTTCTATAATATATCTTAGTTCACTGAGTCGGATAACGTCGTTAATGTATGTACTGAAGCGGTTGGATAGTCCACGCAATATTCCAATTTAATCCTCAAACTATCAGGAAGATCGGACAAGCAACTCACATAGTATTCTGTATTCTTCAAACTTACAATTCATGTGATTATACACATTAAATACAAGATTGTAATGTACTATAAATACAGACGAATATACGTTCTTCAAATAAGTTACTAAGGGTTTATTTCAGTAAGAAACAGTCAACACCCTATAATCGCATACGTCATTTAAGGGTATCCTGTAAGTCTTAAAGAAATTATTGTTTGTTATAATTCGGCTTGCTGGTTAAATTCGTTAACCATGCAAATAACTCCAGGGCTGTCCACTTTCGCCATTCTTGTTTAAATTTTCCACCGACATGCTTTTGGAGATAACACTTTCATCATCTCAATCTTCAGGAGTTGAACTTTTGCCGGGAGACTCACTTGTTGACTAAGAAAACGCTGATGACGTAGTTTTATTTGGTGAAGACGCTGACAAAATCCAGAGTCTTCTGATCACTATTAGCAACAATGCAGACACGTTCGGGATGCGATTCTCTCTCTCGAAGTGCAAGATCTTACTTCATGATTGGGTTGCACCGGCACCTGAACTAATGATAGGGAGTGAAGTAGTTGAGCGTGTTGACCGCTTCACTTATCTTGGGAGTCTCATCAGCCCTTGTGGTCTGGTGAGTGACGAAATCTCAGCACGGATACAGAAGGCGAATAACTCAGTTTCTAATTGACTTAACATTTACACGTGAAGAACTCAAACTTTATTTAATTCAAAGAAAAACCAGGGAATGTCATCCTTATAACAAGTTTATTCATAACTATGACTAAAATTAACTGACTTGACAACACCTGTTAGTGAATGCGATGGTCAGATTTCACTGTAATACGATGATCTAGTCTAGATGGGACGCTTAATTAATGAATTTTTACGATATCAAGTAGGTCAGTTGGGGGATGGTAAAACTAAAAGAAAAAGCTGTCAGAGTTTGAGACCAAAGATTTGCATCGCTAGAATGTGTTATTAGGAAGAGAATGATAGTGATTAGTTGTTTAGCTGAGTCAAACATGTAGATAGTGTGACAGGTGTTATATATTCCCCTATCCTGACTGTTATTGATTGATTGTTTCTCGTTGTCCGATTTTGGTGTGGAAATATATTGACGTTCTAGTCAGGGTACTCTCGTGTTCTTGATCTAAGTTGTGTGGAAGTCCTGTAGAATAGACACTGGGTGAGAATCTAGTGTAGATATTCGTCTAAGGTAAATTAACGTCCCACATACATGTAAAAAATGAAAGGATTGTTATAAAAAACTCTAGCGTTATAACAAGTATCCTACCATTTATAATAGAAAGATAGACAGCGACAGAAAGAGATAAAAGTCAGTTCTAGAGATAGTACACTTTCTGCCTAGCGAAATAGTTCATTCTCTCACTACCGGAAGACCTAAATCATAGATCTTTTTTATCCCATGCATTCTCGTTAGGATCTTTTGTAGTGCCGCGATTCGTTAACCGTTTACTTCGATAACCGTTATAATTCTAAACTTAACGGTGCGTAAAATCAGAAGACAAAGGATAGCAGCAACTACAGTTTATTGTCGAATGACTCAGGTTCGAAAGCTAACAACACCTGAGCGAATATGAACGAGCGAGTGAACAGGAAAACAAGCGAAGGGAACGAACGAGGAGCAAGCGAGCGAGTAGCAAGCAATTACATAGGCAATTTATAGTCAAATTTAATAAGGGCACAGCAAAGCAAAACAAAGGCTGATAATAATATTTGTGTGCGTACATATATGGGGAGGAGTATGAGTCATCGAATGATATTTAAGCAGTCAACATTTCGGCTAGAGTGTCATGTGCTCTAGTGTTATTGCAGTGCAAAGAATATGCAAATTGTTACTATCCAAATGACAATGTCTGTTAAGTAAGTTATAAAAAAGGGCTTAACCAAAATTGGCTATAATCGAAATTGATTGTAGGATGGTTGCTATATTACTCCCCCCTGCAAACAAAGATATATGAAAAAATGTCTGTGTTTGCATAATGTACAGTAAATTGGATAGCGTAGTTACAATCATTCGTAGATATGGGCTTGTACAAAATTAGAATGAAGTTAGTGTGTATTTAGTTCGTGCCCGTCCGTCAGGCTATACAAAATAGCTGTAAGAAATAGAAGGGATATGGTATCGCTTCGAAAAAAAAAACTACACGTATGAGCATAAGGGTGTACATAAGCTGTGCCAAGTTTAATAGCGTATAGCATGAATTTAATAATCCATATGTATACAATGAAGAGGAAGAATTATAATTAATAATCAAAGTAGCAGAAAATTATCAGTAAAAGATTGTAGCGACATAACGTTGCGGCCATCTTACTCTGCGACCAGATTTTGTCGTTATCGGAGTCTCTTCGTTTTGGTGCGTTAGCGTCGTTGACTCCTGAGATTCGTGTTTCGTAGGTGTGATCGTCTTCGAGAGGCTTGTGCTTGTCGATTGAAAATCGCTATCGATGAAAGCTGGCTTCACACGATCGATACTGATTACGTCTGTCTTCCCAGCTTTTTCTACCGTGACTGTCTTATCTGTCTTCGTAATCACTTTAAATGGACCTTCATAGCTCGGCTGCAGAGGTGGTTGTACGTTGTCTCTTCTGATAAATACGTGCGTGCTATTATGTAGTTGCTGAGGTACGAAT